TACCACTGTGCTTCAAGCGGCTATAAAAGCTTCCTTCGAAATTTATATTTTAGAACAGTCCTGCCATTGGATGGCGCATAAGGATCCACAGCCACTGAGACGCCACTTCTGATTACAAAGTACGCAGAGAAGACGAGCTGAGCGCGCCTTTATTTGCGGACCAAAACTTATCTGTTGTAATTATGATGTCACCTTCAAGCAGTGTTGAATATAAACTGAAACCACTGCTTTCTCTCGTCTTCTGTATTTGTGACTTCCGAATGTGCAGTAAATTGTCAGTGAATTACTTACATATCGGTGCAACTCGTGGCTCATATCTGACGTTTTCTTTAGGTTAAAGAAAGGAAGTTTAACTTTCATTCAGTTTCGTAAGTTTATTTAAACATAAATCCTAATGGTGATTCTGTTTTGGGAAGATGGCGACTTGCAAAAGTTTTCGACTTCAACGCTAAAGATGGAGACCGTATAGTCCTCTGAAACGTCGAAAACACAGGCCATTTTCATATGTCGCAAATATGATCTACATAAAGAATTAATCGCCGCAAAAGAGTAGTAAAACTATGTCCTGTTGGAATTTAATACAAATTTGAATATTTTAATTTTGTGACTTGAATGTACACTATTACCAGCCGTGTCTGAATTTGAGAACTGGAGGTAAGACATACGTACATGTGCCGTATTATCTTCTGAGCAACTACTTTGTTTGAAGCTAGAAGGATGGCAAGTAAACTCACAGTTGTGTGTATATGTGCCACTCTTATTACAGTGTCGGTTATTATATTAATTATGGAAAGCTTATCGTCCCCTTCCCAGTGTAGGCAGAACGTTGAAATAAAGACTGAGAATGGCAGGGTAGGTAATCCAGAACCTACTCCCATATCAACTTCAACAACAGGGATCTCCAATTCGACGGTACACAGTTTTTTAGTAACTACTTCTGCATTAAATGTAACTTCAGAGGTTACTCCAGTTGGTCAGTCGAATTACAGTTCGAGTACAGACTTTCTGACGAAGAGGGAAGAAGAAAACCACGACGCAGTCCTTTCAACACCGAAGCCAAGCACAGTGTTTAGTGCATCGAAGAACGGAGAGAATATTATCTCACGAGTGCCTTTGCCATCAATATCGGAAGAGAACACCGAGGACTCATTTGTATCTGATTTGCCAACACAGACAGGTGAAGCTGAAACAGTAACTCCGCCAGAAAACAGTTCCTCGGTTCATTCGCAGACACCTTCACCTGGAAATAGAACCAGGAAAATAATTTTTACACCTGAAAGAAATTGCAGAAATGGTCAGAAGAAAGATACGTTGGGAACGTGCAGGCCAATTTGGTAGACGACTGGCTTAGTAACATCAAAATATCAGGTAGGCTTGTTGTATGGTCATACTTTGTGAGATTTTAGGCCCTGGTATTTATTTATACTGCTAAAATTTTGTATACTTTCTATGCATTCATTGAAAATGAGTGCATAATGGAGAAGTCCTGTCTGTTTCATCTCCAAAACTATTTAACATATTTCGACATTTTTTTATTGGAGGACTTACGAATTGAATGGCGTTAGAATAATTTACTTTGGTTTCTTATGTGTCAGATATAACCCTACCGGTATTTTATGTGAAGATCAAAGAGAATTTTACTAACCTCCAGAAAATCCGTCTTAAAAGACACTAACATCTGATATAAAAATCGTAACTTATTATTAAGCTAATAATTTGGATCTGAAATATTTTTTCAACCAAATACAAGGACAGATCTTATGTTCCTGTGCAGCGTGAGCAGTTGGGAAAAGCAAAACTAAGTTGTTCGTGTTCATTATGTCATAAAATACGTATTTATGAGGAGTACTCTCTTAACCTCGGCACTAGATTAAGGTGAGTGACCACTTTACCCCCTCCCCCAAAATGAGCCTCTTGATACCTATTGAATAGGAGAATGGGTGGGTCCAAGAGCCGATTGATACTAGATAAAGAGAACTATATCTAGAATCGAACCCAAATCCCCCGGTCAAGGGCGCAAGGGAATCGGTATATTGACTGAGTTATCACGGATTCTGAAGTTGAGAAACCTACATTAAATAATGTGATACATACGGTAAATAATACGCTAAGTGACAGAAGTAATTCATCGCCTCACATGGCCTTCAGAGTCGTCAGGGCTTATGAAAAGCTTATGTCCACAACTCTCAATATACGGTCAGTCCGCGTGTTTGAATTGGATTTGCAATGGAGATTCCATATTAAAAACTTCCTGGCGAACCCGATCGCTCATTGTACAAGACATGTCCTTCCGCATAAATTATAATACAGGACAGAAATGGAATATATCAAGAAGTAAATCCTGACAGAAATTAACACGTGCACCGCACTACGAATGAGTATGGGGGAACCAGAGGTAGAGCTTAAGGTTTCCATAACCTTAGCACTGAATGGAGTTGAATGGTTCATTGCAGGCTCTGGCCGCTTTATCCCAAAGGAAAAAGACGTAAGACATGCGAGTCCAAGGGCGGTGGCGTAGAGATGGTATGTCCTTATGAAGCGTTGTCGTCTTACTCTGAATTCCTCAAAACACTTGATTGCGAAGCATCACACAGCTGTTGCATAAACATACAGTTCGAGTGTATTGAAGCGACGTTCTTGAAAAAGAATAGGACATTACACGTGCACTGAGGCCGAATGTTGTCATAGTTTGAGCTTCAGGTCTGTTGAAGCGGGTGGTGCACGAAACTTATCTATGGTCCTACATCCCTTTGTTGGACTTTGGCCGCTTTTCAGTACCTTAATCTTTTTACACAGTCGGTACGATTCCTTGGACGGGGGATAAGCCCATCGCAAGGCCGCTACCTGCACACGGGGACGCACAAACACAGAATAAACGCACACAGACATCCATGTCCCAAGTGGGATTCGAACACACGATCCGGGTGTTTGAGCAGGCGAAGAGAGTTCATGCCTTAGACCTCGCGGCCACTGTGATCGGCTGCGGAAAATCTCTAGGGCTGACAAATACATAATGAGCTCACCATTCGAAGTCTGAAATAATTTAGATATTCCTATTATATAGAAATTCAGCATCTACCTTCCCCATAAGTCTTCATGACGGGTGCTTAATGAATTAAGCACAGAGACTAATTTACCGTTAAACAGAGTTAACCTAAAAGAAATAGACACTTTCAAAATTTTAATAGCATGGCCGAGATACTTACATGATTTGAAATGTTTCCAAGATAAATAAGGGCAATGGAGCTGGCGTGTACTGCCATGGCACGAGGCGGAAACTTAGTTTCAGCCTTGGGCAGTATACGACAGTATTCCAGGCAGAAGTATATGCCATTAAGGCATGTATTATGGAGAATTTAGATAGGAACTGCAGAAATAGGAACATCTACATTCTATCTGACAGCCAAGCTGCACTTAAAGCGCTTGACAAACACCAGATCAACTCAAAATTGGTCTGGGATTGCCACCAAATCCTCATGGAACTGGCCAGACATAACAGGGTTTAACTGATGTGGGTGCCGGGGCATGAGGGTATTGCTGGAAACGAAACAGCAGATCAATTGGCTAAGAATGGAGCTGAACATCCGTTCATGGGACCTGAACCAGCCAGTGGCATCTCTATAGGTTTTGCCAGAAAGGTAATCAGGGACTGGACAAATATGAATCATAAGAAATACTGGGGATCCTTGACTGGTTTCAGGCAAGCAAAGGGACTCATACGAGGACCCTCTACTAAAAGAGCGAAGGAACTGTTAAAGTTAAACAGGAACCAGCTGCGATGGATGGCAGGACTACTTACAGGACACTGTCATCTTAAATGACACCGCTTAAAACTGGGACTAAGTGATAGTCCCACTTGTGAGAGATGTCAAGAAGAAAATGAAACAGCCACACATATCCTGTGTGAATGTGAGGCCTTAGCTTATTTAAGATTGCCCCAGTTGGGTCAGTACTTTATGGAACCAAGTGACTATTTCGACGCCCCCACGTCCAAAATCCTGCGATTCATTCGAAGAGCAGGAATGTTGAGGAGATAATCAAAACGGGAAGACCACTGCAGGTCGCGGTGCAAGGGCCGAGAAGGCCTAACCCTCATACATTCATTCATTACATGGTTTGAAAAGTACGCCCTGACGTTTACATGGATAAATTACAAGTGTTCTACACGTTCACTTTAGGTGAATCCCTCACATGCTCTACTACGGCTCTCGGGTTTTCAGTTCTCCGTATACGAACGCTGTGTTTGTTCACCGTGCCACTAATGAGGAACGTTGATTCGTCACCGAAAACTAGCCGGTTAAAGAAATCACTACTTCCTAATTCCGTTGCTGCATGTCCATACAGAATGAGTGACGGAGGGTTTTGTCGTTTTCAGTGAGGTTCTCCAATAATTGCAACCGGTAAGGGAACATTCGTAAACGTTTACGCAAGATATTCCGCACAGTCTTTTGTGGAACTTGGAGTTCTAAACTTGCAGGTGTTGTCGATTTTTTGGAGCTGCGCATGTAAGTTTCACGAACATGAGTCATTTAAACTGTCTATTTCTTTAGGCCAACCTTGTATTTTACCTTATAGGAAACAAATTGCGTGTCCAGTGAAAGGACCAATCGGTTAATGCTGTTCTGGAAAATAATCATGCCTTATTGTCAGAATCACATGAAGCACGTAAATGCACTGGACTTAAGGTGAAAGCAGGAGGCACAAATAGTAACAGATTTGCCTTAAAAAGATTAATATTCCCAGGAATACAAGACGAATGATTAAAGAACATGAACCCGAAAACACACACAAACATCAACACTTATACACAAGTGAATCAAACAAAACGTTATTTCTGGAGGTCACTGAAACTGTCTGTAAAACTGATACATGATTAAACTAAAGATTTTTAAACAGAAAATAATAAATACCACAAACTGACGCCATAATAACGGATATGACTCTTCCTTGTTTCATTCACTTCCCGTAATGTTATTATCCATATGCCTACAAGAAACTGCCCCAGTTGCGACTTGTCCATACCTCAGTGAAAATGTCTTCCAGTACAGTATTTCATATCACTTTCGTGTTCTTGCTTATCATCGAGATTTTCACACCTGCGAATTCCAAAATGCAACACATATTCGACTACGGTCCATCTGAAGGTATTACACCCTACCCTGCTAACGACATATCGAAGATTAATCATGATTCCTTGAATCGGGTTTTCAAACCCGACAGCAAGCACGAAGAGAGAAGCAATGTAGCACGAAATATTCATAACGGCGAAATTTCGAAGGTTGATCGTAAAAATTATATTGAAGTGACTTATTATGTTGGCCCGGAAGCGTTTAAAGCACCTATTTCGAATATAAATTCTGTAAAAAATAATGCGAAGAATGGGCCCGAATTTATTGATATACCGAAAGAAGAATTTACAACAAAAATGCTACCTCTAGATATAAGTGCAGACAGAATTATAAATACCCCTAAACGGAAATGCCCAGAAGGCAAGAAAATGGACCTCTTTGGCACGTGTAAGGCAGTGTGGGAAAACTGACAATAATCAGGTAATATTCAATTCATTGAATATATATAGAAAGTGTGTCTTAATATTTTGAAAACTGATATCTTGCGAATATAATTACCCCCTTCTAGTATTTTTCATATTAACGTATATTTCAATTGTTGGGGAATCACAAATAGGTACACTTAACTGTCAACATATTACAGCAGATGTACCTTACATTAATCTTTCCAGAACATCGAAATATACACGTAGAACAGACATTTCTGAGCTACAGATCTCGTAAGGAACAGAGAATATTTTGATAACTAGTTCCAACTTGCGAATCATGTTTCTAAATGTAAACCTTACAGGCAGTTGGTAGGAAACTTTGGATGGGAGATCAGCCCCCTAAGGCCCCTGCAGACTAAAGAAAACAAACACACAGAATATACGCAGACATAAGCCTACATCCATGGACAGGGTGGGCTTGAAAAGAATAAACTTATAATGTTTTGCGCTATGCATGAAGATACAAACACACAAGGTTTTGGTGATGCAGATGGCGGCTTTCAACCAATAATTATAAACCAATCTTTCCGTTTCTGGAAATATAATATTACTGTGAAAAGGTTTTGAGGAAGATGATCTGTTTTATCTGAAGGTGAAGGTGGAATTTCTTTTCGCCTGGAGCGGCATTTACACATGCGCCGGCCCTGGATATTTAATTTCATGGTGATAAATTTCTTATTTTTAACTATTAAAATAAAAAATTAAAATAATCAACTGGTCGAACTATTCGTAAAAAGTATAGAACGAAGTGAGATACATGGAGATCTCTTTATTCCACAATACAATTAGTCGTTAAAAGGATGGGCACTTAATGGTTATGTATTTCATGAAAGAAATAGCACGAATATTGTGAAATGGAGATGAATACATAAATTATCTTCTGTGATCATCAGTTTGTTATGAATTCTCCAGAGCGTAGAATTCTACACAAATTCAAAGGAATATAGTTAAGGCCTCCCCATTCAAGGCATTGATGTTTGTGAGTTTATTCTGTGTTTGTGTTGTTCTGTGTGTAGGTAGCGGCCTTGCGAGCTTGCGACAGGCTGATCCCTCGTCCAAGTTGTATTGTCTGAAATAATGGGGGGGGAGGGGGGAAAGAGATTACGGAAGTTAAGAAGAGGTCAGGGGCCAACGAAGGGCTGTAGAACCATTGATAAATGAATGNAATGAAATAGTGACCTCACTAATTCGGACTAACTGGGAGCGAACACTAGTTCAAATTAGTGGAAGTCCGAATTGTAGACGTTCTACTGAAAACATGTTCAGGGTAGTTCAAAAATGGACTTCACGGGTCTTTTTAGGTAATACAGCTTTATATTTAAACATAGATTTTATATGATGAAATAAATTTGTCATAAAGCGTAAAAATGTAAGTGCTGACATCTGTCTTACTGTCTTACAAGCATTTTTGGTAACCTACGTACTTAGTATTACTGAGACCGCATTTAAAAAATAAACTTATTTTTGTTTGTGTTCCCCTTTTGTTACTGTTCTTTTACTACATCTTGCTGATAGCGGCAATGTTATCATCAAAGTCGTAATGCGCAAAAAAAAAAAGTTGTGCAAATTATGGCGAATTCCGAATTAGTGAGATTTCGCTGTATTTCAAATTGTAATTAAATATAAGTAAAACAATATTCAGCTTTATGTCGTATTAATTACAACTGTAGGAAGGATGCAAATTGTGTGTTTCATAGTATTTCTGTAGTTCTGCTATTTGAGACATGCTGTGCAACTTCGAAGTTTAACGGAGGTGGTCACGTAAGTGTTCTGTCAGAGTCTCTTTCCTTGCATCTTCTAAATATGGGAGGTTCCGTTGTTTATATGACGATTAGAATTAAATATAACATTATGGTTATCTCTCAGTGGCCCGGTGAATTTGTGGGTTTCAATATCTTTAGGAAACGGAAGTAGAAGGAAAAGGTTCTACTCACTTTACAAAGTATAAACGCAATCAGTTTCCTTTCGTACTGTATGAGGAACTGTTTCACACGCAAGATTTCGACTGTCAGTTAATATCTAGAGAGCTGGCATCCAAGCAATGGTACCGACTCGAAAAAATGTGGTGCAAAGTGAACAACAGTGGATTGGTGTAGTTACTGGGATTTTAATCATGGCAAATCTTTTCAATTTGAGTCGCGGGTTGCCACCATTTTCTAAATTAACTGGTAATGAAGGGCAACTCTGGATCTGGACGAGCACGACACCAGCGGAAGATTCGTTTTCACATAACAAGCGGTAACTACTGGAACGCACACCCCGCCTTGATTGGGATATCAGATAAACAAATCTATTCCAGTTATAACATTTTTGTACGCAACGCATTCTAACGTAGAGGCGGGGGGGGGGATGTGGCGTTCGTCTAGTCAGTTCAGTCTAATAATTATACTGAAAATAACTGAAATCTATCTCGTGGTCTCCAAATCACTCATGTGCACATAAAGCGTCTATTAAAGTAGGACTTTTAGGTTACAATTTTCGATCAATAAGTAACACATCCTCCTGAAAATGACCAAACTGGTGCCTGTTGCATTAATAGAAAATGCGTTAGAAAGTACATTACAGTCCTCTTGAATCTCGCGCCGTGTTGTTTCGGAGATAAATACGAACATTTTGGAGGACCGTACCGCCATCATCTTCAAAGTCGAAGATGGAGGTAGTACGGTGTTCCAAAATGTTGGTTCCCATCTATCAAGCCACACGGCGTCACATTTCAGAGCACCGCAATCGTAATATTCCCCATAGTCAGAAGCTCAAATTTCACAATCTATGAAATGCGCGCCCTACATAACAATTGTGGCGCATTGGCTTTTTCTGTTTCGTCATCTCAACAGAAAACGTGTATCAGGAACAAAATATGCGTGTTTCACTTTTGTCTGCTTCTCTTCATTTAGATATTTTTTCTCCCGGGTAAATAATTTGTGAGTTATGCTAAATATAATGGCATTAACGCAAGAAACATATGCAAGTAAATAAAATAAACATACAAAAACAAAACATACGAAATAATATATTCCTTACGCATTATAGATAACATGCACGTATTAACACTAAACAATACACGTAAGTAGAACTACAAAAAAGTATCAAACCTTACAAAACTAATAACAAAATGAAATTACATAACACAACACACTATTTACACATTACAGATAACACACCATGATAAGGGAATGCAGTGCAACAAGATCCAACATCGACAAATATACTCTCAAATAAATATCTTTCAATGAATAGCTGGAGACTAGAACAACAGATAACTGTAAAATATTTCAATTTTAAAGTTTAATTCCAATCTTAATTCAAACTTCATATTTTAATCACGTGTGATATGTAACTTTAACACAGAGTGGAACAATTTTGGCAAGACAGACAGCAAATGATGATGGTCATGTACAGCTGAAACATGTAGTAATAGAGAAGTAGGACAAGATAACAAGTTGCATTTGAGATGGAAATATATGTATAGAAAGTACAGACAGATTTTAAAACTGTAGTGCATTATGCACAAAATAATTTTGGGAACTGATTTTTGTTATAAATAAAAAATAGACAAATTTTCATTAAGTGGGGTACAAATAGCATACCAAACCTTTTCCAGACCAGTACAGTCTTATAGGAGCAGGTTTTAAGTAGGTTTTTGATGCTGTTTCTTATGAATTTGTGGCTTAGACAATATCTTTTGAAGAAGTCATAGCCTCTACAACTTATCCCAAGTACATTAATTATATTATCAATAATGAATTCATATATGTAGCAGTGATGGGGATCAAGACATCAGTGTCACTATTACTAACAATGGCAACACCAATAACAATTACAATAATATAAAAATAAATGCCGATAAACACAAAGAGAAAAATGGTGAAGACCACCCTTCTAAGCTAATGTTGAGAGCTATAATTGTGACACCACCAAAAATAATATTATGTAAGGCAGGCATGAAGAAGGATTATTTTGGAAACTGTAGACATGTATGGTAATGCAAAAGTCATCAGAATAATATCAACTCATTTTCAAGAATTACAACAGCCTGAAGCAATGTGAGAAGTAAATATCCTTCATTATGTGAATAGCGCTGAACAGGTTACTGTAAATATACACGTGTTTAATATGACTGTTAAGAAAAGAAAACTAACATAAAGAGTCCTTCTTGATAATAACATTTGTACAGATACTCAGGACATTCCAAGCTTTTTATGAAACTCAAATGATCATTATTGTGTTCATCACAGTCCACCATTGGATTCTATCCTAGCCCAGATAAACCTAGATCACTTCCTGGCACTCTCTTTCTGTAAGACCCATTTTAATGTTGTCTCCATTCTATATTGAAGGTCTTTCATATCTCTTTCTTCCCAGTTCTTTGACCAAAATCCTGTAAATTTCTCATCTTTCCCATGCATGCTATTTACCCCACTCATTTCATCCTTCATTTGATTACCTTAATAATGTCTGCTGAAGAGTGTAAGAAAACACTGTTAACATAATCTCAATATTCAACACTGTTAGTACAAAAGCCTTCTATTAAACATAACCCTCAGACAATTCTGTTCACCTGTGAGCTTGATAGCTTATTTCTCTAACATTATACTCGCACATTCCATTCTGTAAGCGAGATAAATCTGTAGAAACAAAGGCATCAATTAGGAACTTGAAGATAAATATTTCACTCCTACATTAATCTTTTTTATAAAAGAGGAAAGACAAAGAAAAGACATCTTTCACAAGAATGGCCAAATAGTCATGAGATCAAGAACATAACTCCTAAAAACTGGAAAATTATTAATAGTAGATCCTCTTAAATCCTGATCAAAAAATGTAGCTAATATGTTAATACTTTCTGTGGTACAATGGTGATTGCAGCACAGAAATGCCATGTTTGCTGAAAATTTCTGAAGTAAAAATGTTTCGTTACGAGATGTTCCATGCATATAGGGCCGTGCCACATTAAAGTGGCCCTGACATGGATTTTAGTTAGTTAGTTAGTTATTTAGAGAGGGTGGGTTTCCCCATGCACCGCGACCAGTTTGATCTATTGTGCTTCCCTCTATGATATTCTATCAGTCTTTATATCCTACCGGTACTGGTGCTTACCATCAGTCCCGCCCAGCCAGCGAGACCGGCTCTATTAGCTGAGAGGTATCTATAATGCTTCCCCCATCTACCAGAGGTATTAGAGACTGCTGTGGGGTGGGAAACGTCCGTAATTTTGGCTCAGTGACCTCCTTTGGAGATATGAGGTTCTTTTACGTGCCGTAAAGCTAAGACACTGGACCCATGGCTTAAAGTCCCTCCCGGAGGACTTGTTCCCTGAATTTTTCTGCCCTTAAAGACATGGATTTTAATACTGCCACATTATAGATTGATGTCACATGGGGTTTAAATTGGTAATTGGATTTACTGAAATCTTACAGATCTGTGACTACAAGTAATTATAACCGTTTCACTAATTCACACCCTTTACTGTTCACATTCAAGTCTTCTCAGCCTGTTGTGTCTTCACCAGTCATCTGGTAACAGCCTCCAATTGCGGTTTTTCCCCTTCCTCTGAGTTCCCAAACTGTCCCTAGCCTCAGCTACCAGCTTCTCACAGTAATAACTCACAACTGAACTGCAGCAGTCCTCTAACTCACCAACAAACTCTTCACTAATTCTCACTCCACTACAATGACTGACTAACTCCTCACTAACTGTCTTGCTTATAACATCCTAACAAAACCCTGTAGAAAACATGGTTCCTCTGTTGCTTAGTGGTGGCATGACATATTCCATTGTTCTCTACGCAGCCATCAGCATGGACCACACAGAAAACACAATTTCCTTGTTGTTTACTTAGTGATTGCTGTTGTATAGTTGCTTATTTCATGGTCGTCACCTAGCAATGGGTCTACATGCTGCAGTACTATGACTACATTTAATTACACCACCATTGCTGATCTCCATACTATACAAATCACTACAGCACATTTTAAGTCTTTTAAAAAATAAGGCATAATTGTGTGGACTGGATTCATCCAGCGTAGGATTTTTGTGTACGTTGGGATTACATACAATGTGGAAAACTTGACTATTTCATTCACAGAAAGACTTTGCTCCATGGAATTAAAATCTTCTTGTAATAACTGAGATTACCTTATTCAGACTCCTAAAATTATAAATTTGTATAATTTCCATTAATGACCAAGTGTAAACTAATCAGAAACATTCTGTTGTTGCAGGAGAGTCTGGTGCTTCCAAGGATCGGTTGATGGCAGGTCAAGAGTAAGGATATCCAGTAGAATTGAGGTCACTAATGGACAAATAATGTACAAATTTTCTTTGTTTGAAATCTCACTTAATATACTATACTCTATTTAAACATGTATGCACTTATGACACAATAAATGAGAATGAAAAATATTTTTCAAACCTTGATACATACTTTGTGTAACAATATACGTGATATTTAGAATGCAGCATTACTTTCATGATTATTTCATTTAAGCTTGTATTATGATAACCAGGGCCCGGATTTTGATGACCTAAAAATATCTGAAAAATTATCTATAAAATGACCAAAAAATATTTAAAAAATGACCTAAAAACTAATTTCTAAATTTTCTTAAAATCAGGTAGATGCGGACTGTGTAAATTAGTTTCCAATTTCTTGATTTTATGACACCCGAACATCTCTTTAAACCTACACCTCTGCATTTCTGAGACATCAATTTTATGAGTTTATGACATAGCAGTGGCTTAGAAAGTGGGGCAGGACAGTAACGGCATCTCTGGCGGCTTAGAAAGAAAAATAATGTGCCCTCTCACAAACAAATCTATTATATTTAGCGACAGAGGCTAGAGATACAAAACAAAATTTACTTGAAGAACATAGATTTCTGTCTCATGAATCAAATATCTTCAGTTTGATCAATGAATGTCAATTATTAAAAAACGTGAGATAACCAAAATTGATGTAAAATGTGAAAAAATGATGAAAAATGATGTAAAAACTTGTAAAAATGACCTAAAACTTAAAAACTTATGACAAAAATGCACAATAAAATTCACATTTTTATAACGAGACGTTCATAATCGGGGCTTTAGTACTTAAAAGCAACGTTTACTACATAAAGAAAAAAAGATGACATGTCATCAAAATCTGGGCCCTGATGATAACAAATATCACAAGTTTCTGGTTTTGGGTGTGAATCTCCAGAAATCAAGTTTTATCTCCAAACTCAGTGGGTTTCAATCTGAGTAGTAGAATCTCCAGAGTTGCATGAATCTTATGTTTCATTGGCTGACTATATATGAGGGAGTCAGTAAATAGGTCACAAATGGATATAGAATCTAAAACATGTGATATTTGACCCTAGAAATATATTTATATATATATAAATATACAGCTACAGTAATATAAAAAGTTAATCTATCCCTGTAACAGGCCATCAAGGCTCCCATATTTTCTTGACAATCAGCTCACAAATGGTGGTGAGGTTGTCAGCCTTATACGCTTGCTGCCCTCTACCCTCAGGAAGATTCCTGGTACTCATTTCTCCTACACACTGAGTTGCCTGACCCCAAGGCCATAGTGCAGCTGGAAGGATTAGGTAAATTGTAAAATTCAATGACCTCATTGGGAATCAAACCCATGACCCTCCTAGTTGTAGAATAGTGCCTCAACCAACTACACTATTATGTGCCCACTTACAGTAATATACAAAGGTTAAAAAAGAAATTCAATTGATGGTGTTTCTGTATTTTCTTTAATCAGTAAAAAATTTTAATTACAAATACATAAATATCATACAATGGTCACATATTATTCAGCAGAAGTGACAATTTAAAATTACAACTGTACAACACAAGCAGTTTATGTATGCATTGTAAATATTTATATAGATATTAACTAATTTTAGTGGGATGTTTAAATAAGAAAGGAAATATGTTTGCTGACATAACTGAAAGACAAAACACACGCAAGTCTCTTCAGTCAACAGAATTATGTAATATTTTGCCTAAAACAAATATGTAGTAATGTAGTCAGCAGATGGGGTGAACTCTCACTCATAGGGTTATAGGAGAGGAATGGCAGCCATAAGGACATGGTGCAGGGTGCACTAAAAACACAGTACCTACAGTAATTCATCTAACATTAATGAGCAGAGCTCTGGGTCCACGATTTCTGTTAAGTGAATACCTCCCATACTGTACCAAGCTGCATTACATAGAAAGATAAAGAGATTGCTCATGAAAACTGGTGTCTTCTTATCATCTTCCTTCAGGCTTATGTCTCATAACCATACAAGCCAGAAACAGATTTCCAGTTTGAAATCATCACATTATTCTCTTATTTCTCCCTCTGTGTTCAGTGATGGTTATACCTAAAACTGCATTTTCATATCTATTTTGTGAGGGAATAAAAAACATTATTAGTAAATCACTATATTCCTGCATGGTAAATAGCAGATTTACACAAACTCCTGAGTTCAACTGTGTCTAACCAGACAACTGAATTGTTCTCTTATGCAATAATCATTTACTGACAACAGGGATGTTGATCAACACAAATTTTCATATTAACATACATATCAGTACAAAATCACATAGCAAAGACCAGAAGATTGTAGTAGATATATAAAATTCCCAACATTATTCCTTTCAGTACATTAGGCTTATTTTGAGCCCATTTGTATATCTGATTTATGGGTTTATGGCATAAATGAGAAAAATCCATTTATGTGCTCAATAAAAGTGGAATTTATGAGTCAACTGTCTGAAAACATTCTTGGAAGTTTGTCATGTCAAATAAAAAATCTGTTAAGTTTGGTACTGATACTTGGTTGCAGACAGATGAACAGACATGACCTCCACATGAACTGTTGTGGTGCTTCATTAATGTTTGAAAATTTACATGATTTATATAATTAAATCTGTAACAGAAGAGATAAATGTGGACTTCATGGGAAAAGAGGAAAAATAAATTATTACATTCTAATTTAAACCATGAATAAAGGAAATGAGTTTCTTGGAACTGTTTGTTGTCTCTGGACTCCGGGCAAATGAAGGCAAAAAAAAAAAAAACTATAATTCTACACATCTTAGGTTTAATACTGATTATACAATCTAAAAATTTTGGTCTTTAAATATTTGCATTAAATAATTTATCCACGACCTGCTTAAACAGATGTAGGCAGATGCTCTGAAACCCCAATTTAAAATTTCTCTGGGGAGCAGCCGAAAATGGAAAAATTATTAAAGTTGAATGTGATGTGATAACACGGTATATATGTGTTCACTTACAGACTCCATCATGCAGTTCCTCGATGGACATTGAGACAAAAACATTCTTTGATAAAATTTTGGCCAAAGCAAAATTTTTGCAGAAAACTTGATTAAAGTTTAATGCAATGTGGTAATACTGTAAAAATATTTGTGATTACAAACTCCACCATCTAATTCACTTATAAACACTGAGACAAAAATTGCCCTTGAGTATATTTCAACCAATGATTAAGTTTCACATACTTTGTTACTATAATGCATTTAAGTTTAACAGATTTCTTATAAAAATAAGCAATGTTGAAAATTTTATGAAGGGTAAAAATACAGCATTTAATTTTTCTCCTTAACTTTCTTAGCTAAAAGTAGGGGTGTACAAATTATGCAAGTAAATATGGTATCTTATGGCCATGGAACATAAGGGGCAGTGATGAGAGGAGACTGACATAGTACAAATATATTTCGGGAGGAGGACTGCAAGATACATGCTTCCGATTCATAAAACAAATGAAAGAACCACAGATTTCGCAAACAGAATTTACAGAAGACAGCAAAATTTGAAAGCATGTGTTGACAGGATTACAAAAAAGATCTTACGATATCCACCATTAAGAAGACTTCTACAATAATGGAAGGATACTGTTTTATAATATCAGTAACAGGTCCCAATAGCCTTTATGCTGGAAAGGATAATGATTCATCGTTAATGATTACTGGGAATCTCCACTGAACCTGTTGTCATTATATTAATGACAATCACTGCAACAGAAATAGATTCAATGTTCATTTGAAGCAGCTACAGATGCTTATTTCTTTCATTTCCACTTACCTTACTACACTTTTTCCTCTTACATCTGGTCCTTGATGGAAATGACTTGAGTCCTAAATTATTCAAACATAAAACTAGAATGAACTATTTGACTTTTAGACTTACCGCTAGCTTCCAGTCGTGTCCCTTTCCAGGTCTGCTCCAATTTGCGAACAAATTCATCAAATACAACAATGCCCTTCAACATACTAGTTTTCTTATAATCCTTCATTCGATGTTTGGTATCCTCAGCTGACATCTCTTTAGTTTTTGCATCAAATTCACTTACTTCTTCTATCAGCTGGCTGTAAGTGTCAATAACATATATAAGTAAATGGTAAGTGTTGATGAGCAATTACATACCAAAACAAGTGTGCAAAAAAAGAAAGGTCATTTCTGGCCATTTACTTACATCAATATATTCATAAGACTTTCTACAGTTACATTTAGGAGATGTTTCAACAGCAAATTCTTCTACACCATTCAGATGTGTAACTCAATAGGACAGAGTACTTCTTGAGGTGCTAACACTACTCTGGGCCAAATGGAAACAGCCCACACTCACATACAATTTCTCTAACATCCATTTTAATATTATTCTTGCATCTACACCTAATTCTCCAAAGACATATATTCATTACAGCTCCTCTAATCAAAATTTTGTGTACATTTCTCATTACTCCCATGGGTGCTACATGACCTTCATTTGATTTACATAACATCTGGTGAAGGCACAAATTACGAAACTCCTCATTATGTAGTTTTCTCCAGTCTCATCTCATTTCCTCCTTCTTTGATCCAAACATTCTCCTCAGCATGGTGTTCTGATGTTCTCAGACTATATTCTACCTTCAGAGCAGGGAAGCAAGTTTCATACCCATACAAAACAACAGGTGAAGTTATAGTTCACAGTAGTTTAATCTTTACACTTTTAGATACCAGACGACATTAAGAAACTGACAATGCAGATGAATATCACTGCTATGATGTTCTCATTATAAGTCATATTCATTCCATCACAGTTGCACTATAAATATAAAAGGAATCTAAATAACTGATATAATCCATATTTTGTCCTCACTTAATCCTGAAGAAAGCTTACCCAGGTTTCTGACAAAATATTTCTATGTTTAAATATAGGTAAAGGTTATGTGACATGTTCACAAAGGACCATTTTGTTAAATTATAAATCATGGAGCCAAGTTCTTCATTACAAAATTTTGAAAGCATATAAATGTATGTGTCATGAAATTAAGAAAATCAGTCTTAATACCATTATTTTTTTAGGTTATTTCATGCATTCATTCTCAATCCCAAAAACCTTTGGTACAAGATCCACCAAGTTCAAATATTACAGATGGACACTAACCCTATAAATTAACACCATACATTTGTTTTATTTTTTTGTTAATTTATTTTAAACAATGCTGGTGATGATAAGATTATGTGTATTAGTTAAACTTACCGTATTGTGGGAACAGTGGTGGGATTGAACTTCTCAGCTGCTCGAGGATTGAAAGGTATGCACACTTTTCCTGTCTTAGGATGCACACAAAATGGAGATTTGAGTAAATGGTTAAGTCCTTTGGTGACATTGATATCAAGTCGAGGGTATGCATATTGCAACATTATTTCTTCTAATAAGAACTGACGACGACGTTTCAGTTGTCCCTGCAGAGGAATGAGTAAATGGATCATCCATCAGCATGAAGGACCAAGGACAAAACATCTGAACCCATTGATCATTGACATTACAGCAACAACCTTGTTAAATAACCAACTCGTCAATAAATTGTGGTTTATAACCTCTGAGTTTATTTCACTTAAATCTGGAATACAGATAGCATAACAGTACAAACCTATAAAGTCATGAATTTCAGTTGCTATCTCTTTTCAAAATGAGAGAGTAGAGTGAAATTAAGTTCTTATTTAATAAAAAAAGGATCACAATTTTAACATGGGTGGGGGTAAGCCTAGGATGACAAAATATGTCCATATCAAGTAAGTAATACCCTATCATGGGCATGCCATAGCTCAAGTGGGATTTGTGGTGGACAAAGTGGTGCTGGGTCAGGTTTTCTCCGAGAACTTTGGTTTCCCCTGCCAATCTTCATTCCACCAATTGCTCCACAATCACCCATGCCCATCATCTGGGGCTGGTACAATAGGCCAGAAGTGGCCGCAGTATGAGGGACTTAATCCCACCCCACTAGCAATAAAAGAAAAATACCCTATCATTCTATCTATGATTAGAATGGATTATAGTTGGTTAAATGCAGAGAATTCTATACTCCAAGCTTGAAGTGACTTCTTGGTCATTCCGGGCCATATCAAATTAAATACCACAAAAAACACACACATACAATAGAGAACAGGAGCTGAGGTATGGAAGAGAATGCCACCAAACTTGGATATATGATTTATTTTTATGAAGAGCTAAGATGCAGTATTACTAATACAAATTATGTTCTAGGTACCTTGTCTCTGAGCTCTCTGACATGTCTCAACACTGCTTCCCACCGTTCCTTTGATGTGGAATGTTTCTGCAGTTCCTTCTCCAAGTCCTGTCTCAATGGTTCATCAGGAATCAAACTCAGAAACTTCTGCACTGTTGCCGCTGTACCCAATATATCTTGTTCCTCTACACACATACTTACAAACTGTTTTTCTATTATATCCTTTGCCCGTCTGTGTAAGACAGAAAATTTACAGTTGGACATAAAATAAAACTTTCATGCAAAACTTTGATAGGAATATGAAAGAGAAGTCATAATTAACCCTTACCTGTAACACTGGGCATTTAAATTGGCTGGCATACCATTCAAAAGAATGATTAATTTTTTGATCGATAGAAATGAAATCTAGCAAAAAGATAACACTAAACTCTAACCTTTCAATTTCCCTAAAACAGAATTACAGTACTTATTTGGCTAGAATGGCCAAAATTCATACTGTAGCATGCAGAGTCATTACTATGTGGCAACCGCAAGATAGGAAACTATACCAGACCTGTTTCTATGCAATGGCTTGGTAAACATGTTCCTGCAGCAAAGAAACAATGCACAACAATAGAGCTACTACTGGAAACAGGGTGTTTCTACGTGGTCCATGCCAAAGGGTAATCTTGAAGCCAATTGGAATGAACAAGTTAGTTCTGTAAGGGAGTCTGTGAACAGGACTTGAGTGCTGAAGCTGAAGAATCTCCACCATTAAAATCTGTTCCCAGGAAATACCTAGTGAAGACACTGCAGACTGGAGAGAACTTGGCATGTGGTGATTTGAAAAGTGTGGAAATCAGCAGAAGTGTTACAGATATTTGTAGTTATGATCTGTAAGTGGTCAATAAATCCAATATCCAATCCAAACCCCTGTCAATAGTCATCCCTACATGTGGTGATATTCTGACATGATATTTTAATGTTCAAAATACATTATAATCTTGACAAAGCAATTTTTTTTATTGTAGTGGGTATTACCAGTCTCCAGGCTTCTGATGCAAAGTGTACTGCAGATAAATCATCCGGCTTCATCTGTGTAGCATCTTGGAGCAGTCCCCCATCTATCAGAGCTACAATCTTCTGAATCTACTGTTTTCCATAATGACGCTTGAATGATTTCCAAATCTGAAGGCTGTAGCTGGTGGGTACAGTTAGCTGGAAGAAATATATCTTCAATGTTGCTGAGAAATGTGGTATTCTTTGGTTTGGCTGTAAACTAATCAGTGAAAAGCAAGATTTTGCCATTTCTAGTATGCAGATTTCTATCTAGCTGTGTGACACAATCTCCATCCAACAATTTGTATTAGCTTCATATTCTGCAGGTGGTCTCTTGACATTCTTGAAGCAATATGGACTTCCATATTTTCCAGTTACAAGAGGTGATAGTTTATCACTATCATCAGCATTGCATCAGCAGAGCAATATATTATCCAATCACCAATATGGTTTCAGGTATGATTCATCCACAGAACTTCCTTCATATAATTTCATTAATGAAATATTAAAGGCCGTGAATAATAAAATACCAGTTGGAGGCATTTTTTTGTCACCTAAATAAAGCCTCTGATTGTGTTAATCATGATGTTCCATTATCTAAATTGAAGTTTTATGGAATAGTAGGAAAAGCTAATGCATTACTGGAATCCTACCTCCACGGTAGACATCAAAGAGTTGTAACTAATAAGAAGTGCACTCATTCAAGTTGGGGTAAGATTGTCAGTGGTGTTCCCCAGGGATCAATCTTAGGTCCCTTATTGTTTCTGTTATACATTAATGATCTGCCAAATATTATACAGAGTAAATCAATACCTATTTTTTTGCGGATGATACCAGTATTATTGTTAAGAACTCTAATCGTATTGAGTATGAAAATGAACTAAATTTAATATTAAAAAATACTGTCACATGTTGGGTGTATAATGCGACAAATAACTTCATGCCGTAGTTGATATAGCAAATTTATTTCACACTTGCTCTTACAATCGCACCATTTACAGTTTCACAACTGCTGCTATCTGCAGTATTACAATTACTTGGCCTGCGAATGCTATACTACAACTGACTGGTTGACTGACTCCCTGGCTAACTCGTAACTAACTGTGAATAGTGTTCGCTGCTCATTATTTAGCCTCGGCACGGACAAGATAGAAAACAGTTATGTGATAGGCACCACTGTTGCATAATGTCGTGTTTACTGACTGCCTAGGAACAGTCTGGAAAAATGTGAAGTTGAGGAAACATCAAATTGATTAAAGATTAACAATACTGTTCAGAGCATTTGGCCGAGATCAAGAAAAAAGTGCGTAAATTTGGAAGAAATGTAAAAGCTGGAATCATAAAACTGATGCTTCGCTGTATTTGTTAACAGTTTTGGTTAAATGTTTTATGAAAATGGAATTACCTAAGGAAAACATATACACTTAGTTCTGAAACCCATTTAACCTTTAAACGACTAAAGACAACGTATGTCGTCTTTAAAANGACATATTACTTGAACAAAGAACCTACTCAAATGTTCAACCACAAACACAAAAAAAAAAATCTTTAATGAATGCAAGATGCATAAGAAGCACAGGAAGATGCCTTCCCCGTTACATTTTGGATCTAATAACCTTCAGTTGAAACAAGAGCAGGGCTCATTGACAAACAACTTTGCATGGCAAAAGTGCATGTGACGCTTCAGGGAAAAAGGTAAAACGAATGGCAGCTAGGACAAGCTTGCAGTATCCCTGCGCTGAATCTAAGACAACTGTTCAATTGTGCACAAACCAACATATAAAACATGAACACTGAGTTTGTTACTAAGTGGAATTCACAGAAAAGGAGAAAAGCTTTCATGCAGAAGAAAGTCAACAACCAAACCAATATATGGAACTCTTAAGCTTCATCCTTCTCTGCTAATACCAAAAAGTATGTCAGCAGAGTCTGAAGAATTCTGTATTACTCAGCTAAAATACTGTTAGACCTTGGAGATGGGGAGAGAGATGGTCCCTGCAACAATGATAATTTTTAATTGATATGGCTCATAATATCATATTTTATTAACACAAGTTAGTAATTACTATGTTTACAAGTATGAATAATTGATAATATTACCACCATGTCTGTTGATGTAATTTTCTTTGATTCAGAAATAAAAGAGATACACATAATCTCCCTATTATTGTATGTTCATTTATGCACCATGTGCCAAGAATGCATAAAAAGTCATACTGTCATGTGTATTAAAGACTATAGATGGGGTTTGGATTGGTGAATAGATTTATTGACCATTTACAGGTTGTAACTACCAAACTACAAATCACTTCATGCTAAGTTTTCTCATTCTACTTTCACAAGTCTTTACTTGGTAACCTCTCTCCACAATGACTCTTCCTCTGCAGTGTTTTGACTAGACGTTTCCTGGTAACGAATCTTAGCACTGGAGATTCTTCTTCTTCTGTTGCCCCTGGTTAACACTCCACAGCTGAACTCTCAACTGCAACTGCACTCATTCGCTGAACAGAACACAGTCGGTCGAGTCATTTAGCCTTGGAGTGGTCCCACTGAGAACACATCACCTTTTCTACTGTTGTGTGATGTCACCATGCATGTGTATGCAGCTGGTGCAACATAGCAACAGCTGTATGCATGATGTATCATGACATGTCCCTTATTGTTGCATGCAAGTACTACTTAGCAATGGCTGATGTTTAAAGAGTCACCTCTTAGCAACAGGTCTATAAGCCACAATGTTTTATAAATACAAATGAAATTGCAAGAGGTGAAAATAAGTACATCCAAAATTATTCTAAAGCAGAATGTTATGGAGTACTGGGTACTGTTTATGCATGATGAATGTAGACACAAAAATTAACGCTTACTTGATTGATGTGTGCAGTTTGTCTCCTGGCAAAGTAACTTTCTTTGACTGGGTTTCTCCACCAGTAAGAAGCTGCAAGTACTCTGCTACGACTGATCGTGCTGCAGTATCCAACTTGCGAGCTTCATCATCACATACCCAACAATGTATACCTCGACGTCCAGAAAATACCCACAGCAAGTGTTCAAATCCAAAATCCTCTGGAGGTAAAATGTTCATATGCATGAAGGTGACAAAATGGCAACAAAAAACAGAAGACATGCAAATTATCCAACACTGCATGAGATCTGAGTTTCTCATATTTAGATTACAGCCTTCTGGAAGGCAATAACATGTAATCTGATAGATAGACATCAAAGTTATGGATGAAAATACTGTCTTCATCTTTATGGTAGAGGAGGTGGGAAGACAACAGGCAGCAGGTTCCTTTGAAACATCAGTACCATCTATGAATCTACATGGTGTCACATTCCAGAAAACAAATCTTAACGACCTCAATCATTTATTATCAGAAAATGTGAGAATTTCTATTTTCAAAGCACTCTTATTATATGGTTTTCTTCTGACTTTCAGTTATGGGAATATACAGAGAATTCATATGCATATGGGATGTTAATAGGGACGGTTGTGATAGAACTCACTATTTCAAGAGTTATTTCCAAACTTCAGTCTGGACTAGGTTTCTTCATTCATATGCCTTGCATCACGTTGTGTACGTCACTACTAGATAAATATGTCCATCCATCACAACAATTTCAATAAATAACGGCTAGACTTAAATTGTCGATAAAATCTGTTTTAATAAGGTGTTATTTTGCTACATCTTTCAGCCATTTACAACCCCCATCAGGTGTTTACAAACAACAAAATGTGTCTACATTCATCACTAGACTGTATGTCACAATGGATTCATTCCTAACAGTCTTGTCATGTGAAAGTTTTACAGAGAATCAGTGTTTAAATATATTAAAATACTTGTCTAGACTAGTAGTTTATTTAAGATTGTTATTTTTCTAAGTCATCTTATTATATACAGAGGGTTTTTGAGGTGGAATGGTTCATGTATACATAAAATGTTCATGTCACGTGAGGATAAATTATAGGTGACGATTGCCCCGTGCCATCTTGTCTTGGTGGTTCGTGCTTTTTGACATTCTGTTGTAGGCTTGCTGGTTGTGTTCTTATTTCTTGCTCTATGTTATTATTATTATTATTAATTTCATCCATAGCTGTAGAATTACAATTGGACATGTCAAATATCAACAACCTCACATCAAAAATAATATACGTAAAAAATAACATAACATTCACACAGTGATTCATCATTATAATACAGCAGTACATTTCAAAATACATTTTTAACTTAATTTAAGAATAATAAATACTCCAAAAAAGGCATAAAAGTATACAGCCAGATTTACCAAGAAGCAGTCCATGTCAACAATAATTAAAAAATTCTTGAAGAGAATAGAAGACATTACACAACATATAATTCTTAAGTCTCTTCTTAAAAACATTAAAATTTATTACATTCTTCAATTCAGTTGGAAGGCCATTAAATATTTTGGCCCCTGCGCAAGGATGATGCAAAATCGTGAAGTGTTCCGCATTTTTAGAGGATATTTTTAGTTGAAGGAGAAAGCTCTAGATCGCATTAAGTGGAGGAACTGTTTTGGAAGAGACTGTGGACCTGACCTGTCGTCTTGACAGATTACTGATGAATGAATACTAATCACCCCTCTTTTTCTACGCTCAATATTACAAAATTATACATACAAATTGTGTTTAGTGAGCTTTTCTGCATTAAAGTTTTGTTAATGGTGCTGCTTCCTGGTTTCTGTTTGATGTGTAATTTTGTTGCTTCTACTAACGTGGTGTTGTATCTGATTATGTTGTTGGGAATAGAATTTTTTACTTTTACATGACAAGACTATTAGCAATGGATCCATTGCAACATACAGTCTAGTAATGAAGATACACATATTTTGTTGTTTATAAATGCCTGAGGATGATCATAAATGACCGAAACATGCAGCAAAATAATATCTTAATAAAACAATTTGAGTCTATCACGTATTTATCAAAATTACTGTGATCGACAGATATATTTACACAGCAGTGGGCTAAGTTTCTTTCACCCATGCCAGTTCATACAGTATATTACATTATTAATAATGTATCTATCTAAGAAATTCAGAGAGAGCACAAGAAAAGTGTTATTTAAAGCACCGGGGCTACTATATGTACTACGCAGTTTAGTCATACAGGATATTTATGGATTTAATTTGATTCTCAGAATGAAACAGCATTAACTGATTGGTCTTTGTAAGAGATATAGCGCGTATTCTGTGAGGAAGAAACTGAACTTTATATGATTACCAGGCTTAAAATGGTTAAAGAAGTTTTTATACCACACCTCTCAATGCTGTATCCAATACTTTGCAAGCAATGGCCATAAAACGCCAGCATTTAACACAGACATTAGCCCCACTGCAACATGAGCGAATGTCATCATAATCAGTCATGTCAATATCAAATACCAGTTCCTTCTCAAGAGGATGAAACGAAGGCAGTGTTCTATGTTCCTTTGGCCTGAAAGAATATCCAGTATTAGTATATGTTTGTTCATGCAGTAAAATGATTACAATCTGAAACAAGCAACAATACACATATTATTTATTTCTCCAGTTTTCATAAATTAGGCACTCTGACCTGCTTTGATAGGATTAATTACAAAGCAATACATTTTGAAGATATTATGTGGACTTGCTGGATGCAGGATCAGCCCACCACAAATTATATAATGCAGAGAAATTTCATTCAAGTGCCAACAGGCAGTTTTTTGAGCAGCAAAAGTGAAGGAAGCTCTTGCACTATGGGCCAGCATACTCATACATCCTGAATCAGAATTTTGCATGCAACAGTTCTTTAATGTTTGGTGATAATAGTTGATTTTCTATAACTGAAATTATTTTCAATAATTTCAACTGTCTTAAGTATGTAACATTACAGAAATTGACTATATTTATGTCTTCAGATATCTGGTTACTAACAGATTTTTTTTTATTTTATTTGTGATATTAGCAGCAGTGGTTCAAATGAAACTGGGAACATCCTGAATATTAGAACTACTTGCAGTATCCCAACCTCTAGACTGTCTAAAAATGTATGAAATCTGTCTGCATAAAGTCACTTTTCAGAAAAATATGGTGGACATAGATACATGTTGCTGACTTACAGATTTATTTACAGTATTACTAGACCATTCTAATTTACATTGCAACTGGTTATTGTATAGACACATGTTACAGAAAAATCAGCACAATACACATATGTATGTTTTACATCAATAAAAACACATAGTGTTCTATACTTCAGATATAACCAAGTTACCTATGAGAATAAACAGCTCCAATGTCAATCTTGTATGGGTTTCGTTTATGTATCTCTGCCTCCAGTTCCTCCTGGTTAGCAAAGGACTGATATCTAATATAAATGTCATCAGCCAGTGTGAAGGAAAACTCACGATGGTCAAAGTAGTGACTTCTCACTGACAATAAAATCAAACCACAATTATAGTGATAGAAAAGATAAATAATATATCTACTGTCTCAGAATTGTTCATAATCAATATGTGTACTTGTTACATACCAAATTAACACATAAAAGGGTTATCTTCAACCTAAAGCCTTCATATTTCAATGAAATTTTACTAGTTTGTAGATTCTATAGCAGTGTATCAGTCTTCATCTTCAGTTAAGGCATGCACATTCGAATATCATACCAATGACAACTTCGTATTATGACATACTATCAGTACCTCTAAGCCTTTTGCTGTTCATATGATTCTGTTAAGTAAAAGAAAGCCTGTCCATAAAAAATGACTAATTCCCATTCCCATCCAAAAATGAACACACATTTGCTGGTTCAGTGCCACCCTTGACCCATGTGACTGAACTCCCACTTAATATCTTACTTGGCCGCGCCACAGCTCAAGCGGTTAGTCGCTGGCTTCCCACCGCAGCGGCCCAGGTTCGATCCCAGGTCTGGTCAAGTGGGATTTGTGGTGGACAAAGTGGCACTGGGGCAGGTTTTCTCAGAGTACCTCAGTTTCCCCTGCCAATCTTCATTCCACCAATCTCCCCATAATCACCCTCACCTATCATCTGGGGCTGGTACAATAGGCCAGAAGTGGCCGCAGTACAAGGGACTTTGCCTCACCCCACTAGCAATAAGAAAAAATAATATCTTACTTTGCTATTTCTCTTGCTACATTTTTCAATGAACCTGACCTGCAGAGCCTCACGAAATTCCTATCCCAAATCTTATGTCTCTTTTCCACTTCTTACGTAGTGCCAAGTAATCTGTTTGAGACCAACTCCCAAGATGGAGGACCATCCAATGTTGGACATCTAAGACTGCTTATTCAGTATATTTGTAACTCCTCTACATATCTGGATGTCACTTCTTCCATCCACAAGCTGAGAATGTGCCATGATATAGAATGAATGCACTCATTTTGAGGACATAACAGAGTAAAAATGCATAAAAGATGAGATTATATTATGAAATAGGGCATAAACTGAACTGGATCAGAATCAGGGCCAGTGGCAGGTTTTGGAACATGCAATGTTGAAACTTCAGGTTTTATCATGAGTTTGTCAGTTTGTTAAAATATAATTATAGTTTTAAGTTACAGTCCATGAGATCAAAATGTATATGTATATTTAACAACAATCTGTCAGGAGTTGAGGAGAGGAGGATTTCTAGGCAACTCATCTGCTGGCAAATTCATATAACTGAAATGGGGAGCTTATGTCCAGAAGATATCTGAGTCTTATGTCAATCTTTATAATAAATAATTTATGAGGTACATTTTATAATGCAGAAATGCTGCTAATATAGAAGCACTGAAAAAAAAAATATAAATGTGGCCTACTATTTTAGTGGAAGTCACCTCATTGTGTGCAGAGGCCACTGAGTAAACTCGATGTTGTGGACATTTTTTATCACTTTTAGGTGACCACTTTTTACTTTCACACTGTGGTTCATCGACAGTCAATTGTATGTTGTCATGGAAAACGATGGTTTCTCCTCCACGGCATTTGTCTATCTCACCAAACTATTTGTGAGCCAGGATAGCGTAGTCAGTAGAGCGACTGGCTATTGGCTGGACGACCAAAGGGTCAGAGTTTGAGTCCCAGTAGGGTCAGGAATTTTTCCTTCTCTGTGTTGTCTAGGCCAGCGCTGGGGTCCACCCAACCTCCCATCCAATGTATAATGGGTGCCTTTTCACCAGAGGTAAAGTGGCCGGGGCGTGAAGCTGATCACTCACCTCCAGCTAGTGCTAAGGTCAAGAAAACGTAATCTATACATCCACTCCCCCATACGCCTCCATGGCGCAGTGCTTAATTAGTTAAACACAGAGACAAATTTACATTTTTACCCAATCTATTCAATGTTTCCACTAGCTTTGCAAGAGCACAGAACCAATAAAACAAACTTACATGCTTTCAAGGCGGTGACTATGAAGAGCACCATCTTCTGGAATGTAATGCCGAGTAGCATGGTAATGTTCACCAGTCTTTCGCAGGAACGCATTGTTTCCAACTTCAGTCGAAGTAATCGGCAAAAAGAAAAAAAAACAAGCGAAGCGCTTCCTGCTGGTTACTTCGACCCCGAAGATGGAGACAGTATGTTCCTCTGAAACCTTGTAAACTTTCACAAATGTGAACACAACAGTCTCGATGGTATAATATACCTACCATTTCCGTAACTCAGCCATCTATAATAAGGACCAAATGGAAAAAGCCTCTTATAATACACAGCCAGAAGATCTGGCAGGGTTTCTGGATTGAAATCGCAATCTTTCATTATTCCGGATTACGATTAAACTGTATTTCTTAATTAACCTTATAATGTCTTCCACACCACACACGTTTCAAGCGCCAACCAATGTTGCCAACAAAGATTACATTTACACAGCAGGGGGACGTGAATAAACGGTATCTACTGATTGGTGCGAAACACTTTCGCTGCAGAGGCAGTATCACATGTCACCACTATTGGCGGGAAATGTGGACGACGACCAATTAAGCACTAACATGAAGCTGTATTAGGCCTATTAGGCTGTATTAGGAAGTGGTTGGATAGATTCACATTTTCTTGACCAGTGGGATAGGTGGAAGGAGAAAAATGCAGAACTGCCATCTCTACGCATCCTACATGAACTACATTGTCTGGAAATGTTTGGATTCGATCATAATACACCTATCGCAATTAATCGAATCGCATAAGTGTGAACCCATCAGAGAATCCTGCTTGACCTCAGCACTAGTTTGAGGTGAATGGTCAGCTTCACGCTCCGGCCGCTTTACCCCCGAAGTAAGAGCAACCAGTACTCATTGGATAGGAGGCTGGGTGCGCCTCAGAGCCGGTCTGGAAGACTTGGGGAAGAGAAAAATCTTGACCACTCACCCCCAAATAGTGTCAAGGTAAAGAAAACGTGGATGTATACATCCACTCCTCCTTACGCCTTCATGGCGTAGTGTTTACTTAGGTAAGCACAGTGACAACTTTATGTGGCATTATAGTACCTCGGAAGATAGTACTCCTCTTCTTGGGTGCTTTGTGATTAGCGTATGTATTTGTCTCTGTTGTGATAAGTTTCGCTTGGCACAATTTCTTGAAATACAACTGAACAATATAATTTCACATATCAAACCTTGCCTACTTGCAACAAGGTAAGGGTTTGTTTGTAATACACTTGTTTTGTGAATTTATTGCTGTGAGAACAAATATTTTTGAACAATATGCACATCTACTATAAAAGATATTTCTACATGATATACAATACATTCTTTTTGTAAGTGGATCAGAAATATATAATTTTAGGCATCAAATTAGTGTATTTGTGGCACAAATGTATGACCATGGATGTACAATTTTTTCACGTTTCCTGTACAGTTTAATAATATGAGGAACATCCTGAATTACAGCACTGTATATTTCTTTAGAAAATTATATTTTTTCCTGGTTTTACACCTTTATTTAATGCAGATATCAATTTTCAACTACAATTATGCACTTTTATTATTCATCCTGGCATGTATGCACTGTCGGTGGACCCCCCAGTGGATCTAGGTGACCTAGAGTGAAGTCAGCTGATGGCATTGACGCTTGGAGACTCACTGTTGCTGTGTGCGCTCCAGGTGAGCTGTCTTGAGGTAAGAGCAGCTCCAACAGATTGACTAGTGCATCGGAGGTACATATTTTTATATGCTGTCATTAATGACACTTGACCCAGTGGGCATTGGCACTGCTGTGATCAACGCTGATTGACTAACATTGTGCTAGGCTCTCACATTCCCTTTCATGGTCTTTTGGTGCACTACTTTCACTTGAACTTGATGGTCTCTTTCCAGGCATCTTAAATAAGGCTAACACACTGTAAAATATAAAATAAGATGGGAATAGCAATCTCACTACTAACCATTCCCATAAATCATTGACATCACTGACATGTACATATATGCAATCTGAATTTTAGAACAAAACAATTTAATTAAAACAAAGCAGTTTTGGCTGAATTTATTATTATTTTGAATTCTGTCTCAGAAAAGTATAATACTTACCCCAAATTTTAGTAAGGGCAATCTTACGATCGCTGTCAAACCTTTTATGCCATGATTTATCACGTTTGTAAGAGTGAAGTTCCATAACCTCAATGTCCGTAACATAATAGAAGGTAAAGTTGTCTTGTGCTCAAGTAATTAAGCACCACTCCATGACAGTGTCTGGAAGAGTAGATGTATAGATCCATATTTTCTTGACCTCAGCACTAGCTGGAGATGAGTGCTCGGTTTCACGCCCCGGCCGCTTTACCCCCCAGGGAAAACGCTCCTGGACCCCATTAGATCAGAGGTTGCATGGACCCCTGAGCCACTCTAGCCCCTACCAGGACTCGAACTCTGACCCCTAGGTCTTCCAGTCCATAGCCAGTCACTATACTGACTACGCAATCCCAGCTCTCAATCCATAACATAATAGGTATGTAAAAATATATATGGTTTTAAATACAAGTAATTGGCTTGTAGGGTACATTCCACCCAAACACTTCAATAGCAACTGTTAATAGGATTACAAGTGTATATATAACATTTCATGTCACTTGGCCATTCAATTTATTCTCTGTTAAAGAGTGACATTTATTAATTGTGTTCTGGTTTAATATAATACAAAACAATGGATACAGTGTTGTCATCTGTAAACCAACAATCAAAGCTACAAATCCAAGAGCAGAGTGAGCGAGCGCATGCGTATGCACAAGTACGCATGCGCACACAGTATAGACAGTGTCATGTAACTTCAAACAAGGCCCCGCATTCCTAGTCAAATCCTGCGCATAGCTTGTGGTGGGAGGAGTTTCTTAACACTCGTTCTTTCACTTTCACCGACCCCTCGTGTTTCATTGAAACTACCCTATTCTCTTTTCAAAGAACCTATTACAATAATACAAATACATTGTCACTCATCATGCAAAGAAAAATATGTTTAATGTATATTACTAATTTATACTTTGAAAATTAAAATTAAAATTGAGTGTACACATATACCCTGACCTAATTTCTTACTCATTATGTACGATTTAGCGCACAAAGAAACTGATATTTTTAAACAGATGATAGAAAAACTGTAAGTATAACCTGCTTCGAGGGTGCCTTACAAACAACTGGCCCCCTGTCGCTTCTCACACTCTCGAACCCACCCCCTTGTCTGAAATTTTTCTTCTAAGCAATCAAGGTTACTCTTGGCCTTGTTCGAAGTTACATGACACTTGCTATAAACTCTGCGTTATCTGGTATGCACAGGGAAGGGGATTTGGTGGTGACATGAATCTGATGGTTGCATTAGTAAAACACTCACACAGACCCAATAAAATGTCAAAACAACATATTCTCATTTTAGTTCTTGTATGTGAGCATTCTTAGGTGACACAGATGATTTATGGGTGTAAGATTTCAGATACATATGCTGTAACACAAACACAGATTCAACTAACATCTACTATAATGGCCTCAATGTATGGGGGGATGAGAGGTAGATCCTAAAGGAATCTGATGATCGTATATAACACACAGAATTACTGGGTTTTTGGACTTTTTCCATCTTCCAGTATTCTAGAGAATAGAAAACAGAAACTGGATTTGTTTCCATCCTCAGGTGAAGGGGAAGGGGGGGGGGAGAAGACAGTCTGCTTTTACCGGTTCTCACGGTCTCTTCGCTTGCAGATTTCTTATATTTTTTCTTCTACCCTGAAGATGGAGGCGATACGTTCCTCCGAAACGTCGGTTAACACCACATATACACGGTGCCAAATCCCAGAAGACTGCTTTCTTCAAGACATACTCAGTTAGACCCCTTAGAAAGAGCTAATTTGAACCCATCAACAACCCATATCAGATTTACACAGCTATTTAATCACTTGAGACCAGGCTCATTTGGTGGGAGATAACAAGAAAATACATAATAAAAACTGTGATAAAGCACACACATGCTTGGGGCTGGGATAGAGAAAGAGGTAAAAATTTATGCTAGAAACATAACCAACAAAGCCAAGAGCATGAGCACCAATGCAAAGAAATGGAAACAAATTTTGAAGACAAGTAGTACCTACCACCAGTGTCATCTTTGGAGAAAAACCTGAACACTTAGACTAAAAATTTATGGAAACCCATGAAGAATCTGTCACATCATACAGATCTTCTTTGGGAGTTGGAAACCTCATTACTGATGCGGAGGGTCCAGCTGGGAGAAATGTCCAAATTGGGTTGGCTGATTGGATTGGTTAAGCATGCTATATGGGCCAATTCCTTATATTTTTTTATACCTGCTGTTACTTTCAATTTCCAATATCCTAGCATCATCCCAGCCTACTCTATGACCCTCTTCATAGGCATGTTGGGCTAATTTTGATCTTTCTAGAAGATCCTGTTAGAGATGGTGCCTGTGTTCATGGAGCCGCACGGCTAGAGGTCTGTGTGTTCTGCCAATGTAACATCTGCCACATCCACAGCAAATGCTGTAGATGCACTGTGCTGTCTGTAGCTGATCACTTTCTGGCCTGGTTTTCATGAGTGAACACATTCCCGAAGCATAAGCTCTCAACAACAGGACATCCATTGGTAGGTAATAGACCAATAAACATGCATTCTTAACAACAGAAGATGATGTTTTCTCTGGGGTCTGTGCCAAGGAGTTATAAGATGGCACAGTCAGTCACAGTTCAGAGAGGGAGTACAACAGAGTAGTGGAGGAGTTTAGTTGGAAGTCAGAATAGTTCCCATTGAGTGTCCAGTTGGAAGAAGACGAGAGTGTGTCAGATAGTGATTTGAGAACTGTTGTAACCAGTTGTACAAAGGTCCAATAAATTCGATCATCAAATCCAAAACCAGTCTTATCAGCATGCAAACCCCAGATATGTGACAATATTGTTTGAATTTCATTCTCTTTTGGCCAGACACATACTTTGAAATAAAAAAAAAACACATAAAATCGAGATGTCCATGAAGAATGAACTAATGAAGTTATTTAAAACTTAAGAAAAAGTCATAATAAATAAATTTCCATGTTAATAGTTAATTAAGCTTTAGTATAAGACCAATCAATATGTAAGCACCACAAATAATTTCATGAAGGAAAGTACTTGTACTTCTTGCAAAGCTAATACTTATTCAACTAGTCTACAAAAATGTTCTGTCTTTTATGTAATCTGAAGGTTCAGTACTGTATCCACAAGAGCATGCTAGTAAGCGCCATACATACATATCCCTAAATAAGGCTGTGCCTTTATGCAAAACCATGCTTCTTTGAACAGGTTTACAAGAAAAAAAGCATGCTAATGCTTTCAATCCTAGTGTCCATGCTCTGCAACACAACTAATCTATATAAATAAATACAAAAACAGAAGTTGGTGCAGAATTTGTAAATGTGCTGCTCTGCAGTATCAAATATTAGTATGTTATCATGGCCTCATAAATGTGTATTTATAAAACACTCCTTCAGAGTAAGTAATCAACTGTACCTTTTTCATAACATTTCTACACAGCTTTCAACCCAATTTTTAGACAGCAGAAGATAAAAATATTTCAAGCTGTATTGGTATTTTCATGGCTAATTCAGTTAGTAATACTGTTCTAAAGATAAAATTAAGGCTATACTATCTATCCCAAACCCATGACATGCTGGAAATTACGCCTTCCATCAATGTACAACATAGCATCTGTAATACAAAGAAAAATTATGCATTATAATAAACCAGAGATCAATCTATCTTTAGGTGAAATAGAGTGTAGTTCACATTAATTTATATTACAAAGTGATATGCATAAACAATATACATAATGTAAAAATTATTTCAGTTATAAGTACTATTTTGTATGTGGATCTAATTGTTGGTCTTGATTTAAACTTGTTGGTAGAAATAAATCCAAAAGAAGCACTCAACTGTAGAAGATTGTGTTCTGTACAGTAAACTCCCCATTATCTGGCATGTACTGGGAACTGAGCGTACTTCTTACATGAATCTGCTTGTTGCATGAGGAAAGCTCTTAGAGAAACTCAATACAAAGTCAAAACAACATGTTTCTGCTTTAGTTCTTGCATGCCATGAGGATTTAAAATCTCTTGAAATGTTACCAATTTACATTAGACAAGACAGTAAACATCCTGAATGAACTCAATTCATCAAAAATCGCTGGCTGTTTATAATAAAGAAATGTTATTTTGTTTTAATTTACTGTTACCATATTTTCAGCATTAAGTATAAAGAAATTCTGGGAAGAACTAAATGCATATTTTCCTTTCACTATAAACTGAGTATCTCACATAACATAGACCACATAAAAACACTATATCCTACAGCTTTTCTGTTGCCTAGCAACAGTAGCCTCTTCTTGCTCCTCTATTCTTGCTTTCAGGAGTCAGGGGGAGCACACAAACATACAAACATACAGACAGCAAGGTGAGCTCATAATCCTTTCTTATTTTTTAAAAATAAGTAAAGTAGGATCAAAACTAAAACCCCCAAAAGTTGTGTGACTTCAGAATATTATTTATCATTTGAAAATCAGCAAAAGTATGCGAACATGTGAATAATGTGCAATAATGTGACTGGGCAATTTAATACTGCAGCAGTGCACATATGTGGTCCAGCTAGCCAAATGTTGCATTTGACAATATTAATACTGTCTTCCTTCCCCTGTATTAAAATCCAGCCACCAGCCACACAGTACTGGTAGATTTGGTATACTCTATTCCAAATGGTAAGCGTTTAAATGTTTCAAACACCAAATTGAAATATTATTGTATTCACTTACCACTATATGATCGTGGTATGATTCTCACAACATCTGCAGGAGTTTTGTAAGTAAACTGGAAGGAATTGGTTGTCACAGTTTGACTGCTGACAGGGTCAATAACATCTGCAAATACTGTGATCTGTATGAAGTTCTGCTCAGTATACACCACCTTCCAGGACATAAGTAATAATCAGTTCTGCTCAGTATACAACACATATCAGAATGTAAGTAACAATAAATTATATTAAGCAAGCACTACCTTCTAGAAAACAAACAATAATCAGTTTTTCATAGTACACACCACCTACCAGAACATAAACAACAATCAGTTCTGCTCACAATATACCACCTTACAGAACATAAGTAACAATCAATTCTTCTCAGTATACACCACTTTCCAGGTATTATCTTCACTCCTCTACCTTGAAGATGGAGGAAGCAGGTTCCTCTGAAACATTAGTACCTACCTAAACTATATAGCAGTTTTCTTTATAGCTTGCAGTAAGTGATTTCAGTTGTACATTCTCAGCTAATAAAATATCAAATAAACTGATCAGTTGTCTGTTACATAATGATGTAGCTTATTATACTTACGAGTATATAAACTAAAAAACTAAACTCTGCAGCTTTAGTCTGCAAGAGAATTATATCAACCAAGCAACCACTGCTTGTCGGTGAAGTTAGTGCCAACTTTCGGCTGTGCCATAGCTCAAGCGGTTAGTCGCTGGCTTCTCACTGCCACGGCCCGGGTTCGATCCCGGGTCTGGTCAAGTGGGATTTGTGGTGGACAAAGGGGTGCTGGGGCAGGTTTTCTCTGAGTATTTCGGTTTCCCCTGCCAATCTTCATTCCACCAATTGCTCCACAATCACCTTCACCTATCATCTGGGGCTGGTACAAGGGACTTAGTCCCACCCCACTAGCAATAAAAAGAATAGTGCCAACTTAAGCGGATAGAGGGTGTCATGTGGTCAGCACAACAAATCCCCATGGCTATTAATTTTGGTTTTCTAGACTGGAGCCCACATTTCCTTGAAACAGCTCCTTAATTATCCTCACAAGGCTGAGTGGACCCCATTCCAGACCCACCACTTCTCAGAAAATCTGGTAGCGCCGGGAATCGAACCCGGGACCTCTGGATCTGTAGCCAGGAACTCTGACCACTAGACCACAGAAGTGGTCATTATACTTATATAGAGCTTATACTGTCAGTGGCTGAAAGCTAATAAAATTGTTGAACAATAAGATTGCTTGGGAACAACGAATTCAAAAAGATTTGGAAGGAAGTGGTCATGAAATAATTTGGAGTTCTGACCCAACATTTGCCTGTGGAGACTGATGTAAAGCACAGAATACCTCAATCACAACAGCCAGTCTACAGGCAAGAATTTGAACGTGGGGCCTCCCAGATATGAAGCAGAAGTTTGGCCTACTGACCTGACATTTTACCTTGATTATGAATGGGCAAATGGAAACTTTTAAGTTGTCATCAAAAAAGGTGAATTTCATGTATGCATGACACCAGTCTGATTCTTAGAAGCAATGTGTTATACATCAAGAAGACAGCAGGTGGATGGATGGCACAACTGTATTACCTTGGGAAGTAGCTTTGCTGGCACACATCTACTAGGTAATGTTTTATACTGGTGATTATTTAAATCAATGACAAACATATAATGCTCCAATAATTCAATAAATGTAAGTAAAATACTTCAACAGAACATAATTAGTTGCACTTTGCGCACAATCAGAGAAGCTTAATAAAAATTCTGTATAATATAACATGTACATTTTAGAAACATCTATACCATGTATCCAAGACATTCTTCTCTCAGATATACTTAATATGATCGGCCAAGAAACGTATTGAGGCCTTGAAATATACAAATTAAAAATACAGATGTGGATTAAAACATAATTTTGAGTTGCTTGCTATAAACAGTGCCTTATATATATATATATATATTTGCGGAGATTAAAAATCTGAACATAAAAAATCTGAACTTACATGTGCATGCATATTGATAAATGATCCAACATTGACAGGCTTCCGGAAGCTGATGTCACTGATATGGAGGAGCTCAGGGTGGTATTTACTGAAATCAAGGAAAAAGTAATGGCATATAATAGTCAATTATCCAAGGTAATCAGATGAATTTGAGGAATGTTTTTAATGCATTTATTAATGGTTTACTTAATGATCCTATTAGTAACTCAGACTATCCAGGATCAAATGATAGGATAATAATGCATTTGAAAGGATGTACAAGACATTATGGCATAATTTAAAATACTATCACAGCAGCTGTCAGTAGATACTGAGAAACACCACAAAAACCTCAGTCACAATAGCCAGTCTGTGGGTTAACACCTGAATCTCATAACAGTGTAACATGAAGCAGGAATGTTAACTACATGACCACAACATTGCACAGAATATCTTAAATAGATAAGATAGATAACTTATTTAATCTCATCTATTTAGGCTGCATATTGCTTTCATACAAGTTGTAACATGTCATTATGTGTCATATATACATTCAGCTCAGCCACATTCTTCAGAGCCCAGCTGTATGGCTCTTGAAGTAAGGTATCGCGTAACACATCTACAGTTACAACACAAATTCATTCATTCATTCATTCATTCATTTCTTTATTTTGCAATCATAATTGCTATAACAAGTGAATTGCTGAACAAGTGCAATTTGCAATAAACTTCAGCATGCATTTAGATAACAGATACAGAGACTTTTCAAATCGTGAAAAGTACATATCTAAAAGTTAAATATCAAAGTGGCATAAAATGTTTTCTGAATAATGTGAATCAGTTTAAGATGATCTTGCAGTTATAGATAAAATTGGTATTATTTACAATTCATTTGTATGAAGAGGTCAAAGAATAAATACTCCCATTCCAGTGTTGATAACAATCCTCTATTATCAGAATGTAAATTAAATAGTCCTCATTTCACTGAACTTCAGTGTATACTGTAAAAAAATAAACTGTTTATTTATCATTATCAACAATTAAGGCTTAAGCTATTTGGCTTTTTTTTTCTGTGGCGCTACAGCCCCAATTTGGGCCTAGGCCTACCTCCATGAAACTCTCTGTTTCACTTCAGTTTACTAGATCTTACACATTCGGTAGGACTCCTTGGGTGAGTGATCAGCTCATCGCAAGGCCTCTACCTGTAGACAAACACAGTAAAACGCACACAAACATCCATGCCCTAAGTGGGATTCGAACCCACGATCCCAGCTTCCGAGCGAGTGAAGACAGTGCATGCCTTAGACCGCTCGGCTACCGTGACTGGAAAGCTATTTGGCTTATTCCAGTCTTAAAATCACCTGTTCATTGCGTTAATAGTTGCCCCAAGTCTCTCCTTTCAATGGGTTGATAAACAGTAAATTTGTTTTGGGATTCTGGAATTTTGCATGCTTCAAGGATGATCCATTCTGTTCTGGATGTTACTCATCCAATGAAATCAAACATTTCTAGTTCTCTCATTATTTAATTTATGGTCTATTATAATATGCCCAGCTGCCTGCCTAAGGAACCTCATTTCATTTGTCTGTATGGTATTTTGATTTGCTTTAGTCCATATCCCTGTATCACTTCCATAATGTTGGACTGGTACTGGCATCTGTCTCTGACGTTTCCTCCCTTGTGTATCATGTATACTTTGAATAGCATAACATATGTGTCTGAAGTTCTACAATATAATAATTTAACCTGGGTTATTATTAAAAGTAACTATGAAACTGCTCATCATACCTGTATAAATTACCAGCCAACAATGACAGCTCCAATGCATTCCTCATCAAAAAGCCACCAAATATTTTGTTGTGAAGATTTCGATGCTAGAAAAAAGGAATGACCTATTATACAGAAAATTTGATACGGATGAGTACTGTACCTCTACTTTATGTTCTGTGACAACCATTCAGCTCTGATGCACATTACATCTGTTCTGACATTAACAGCAACTGAATTTAAAAAACCAACACTTCACAACTGAAGGTTATGATCCTCACATCCTATTGGGAGCACAAGGATGGAAAATGTGATCAGAGGAAAGGAATCCATTTTTCCAAATATTCATCTGGGAGAACAGTATGAGATAAAAATTTCCTCAAGAACAGTAAAAATCCCCTAGTACCACAAGGCTGGTGACCAGATTTTAACTTGGGGTAACAGCATTGGTATTGAATAAATGCAATGCCCAGTTAGCTGGACCATGGAGATCCACTGTTCCAGTAGTGCAATGGGAGGCCAATAAAGGTTCATGAAGTAGAACAGTTGTAACTGAGAACTTGGATGGCTCAGTTAGTAAAATGAATGGCTAAGGGCCACATGACCGGAGTTTAATTCCCAGTAGGAGTAATGACTTGTCTCCTCACCACCACATTAAGATCAGTTCTGGGGTTCACCCAACTTCCTATCCAATGGGAATGGATGCTCTTTCCCTGAGTGTAAAGTGGCAGGACCATCAAGGTAACCTCTCACCTCCAGGTAAGTCTGAGGCTAAGAGAATATGTAGAGTTTTACCCCCACTCCCATGACACACATTCATGGTTTACTGCTCAAGCCCAGGGGTAACTTATAACAGTAACTCTGATATACTTGTCACATTACCTTGCGTGTTTGATCCATACTTAGCACCAAATGGAAATGTATAACAAAAGTTACAGTAAAAAGAAATGAATGGACAAAGTGCTTTTGAGAGCAACAGTACATAAATTTTTCTGTGTATCAAAAACAAAAACTCTGTGGCTTTAGTCTGCAAGCGAACTATACTGAGCAACTGCCACTTGTCGGCGAAGTTAGTGCAAACTTTAGCAGCTAAAGGGTGTCACACAGTCAGCACAACAAATCCCCACAGTAGTTAATTTCGGTTTTCTAGACCAGAGCCGCTATTTCCTTGAAACAGCTCCCCAGTTATCCTCACAAGGCTGAGTGGTTCCTGTTCCAGACCCACTACTTCTCAAAAAATCTGGTAGCGCCAGGAACTGAACGTGGACCTTTGGATCTGTAGCCAGGAACTCTGGCCACTAGACCACAGAGGCGGTATCTCATTAGGTAATTACCAAAATTTAAAAATTTGAAATAAAATTACAGAACATTTTCCTTATGTTAAGCCACTTGAGAGAAATTTTATGAAATATTCTTTTATGGCAAACTTATTACCAAGATATGTCATCCAAACAAAGCAAAATAAACTATGCAAACTATATAAGATGCAATGCAATAAATGTAAAGACTGCTGTGAAAAGAATGGTACATTATTTTAGAGCACAGTACATATGCATGAAAATAACAAGCATTTCACTCTTGACTGATTACCTCAGGTTGGCCAAAGATTATACTGCTGTATGATACTTCATCCATCCACATACTATTAGGTGGCAACACACGTTTGTGAATAGTCGGATCTCTTACATCTACAGTCTGTAAAAATGTATTATGAATAACTTTTTGTTCTTCTGTATTTGGCACAACTTTTAGCAGTGATTGCTGTTGGAACTGAATTCGACGTTTCTTCCTGCCTGTAAAGATATCATTACAAATGTCATTTTGTATATATTCAAACCAAACAGACACTCTAGACTTGCATTCAACAGGTGTTAAGTTTGAACCTCAGTTGCAAGACACTGAATGTACTGACTGAAGTTTATTGTGGTTTTCCTTAGTCCCTCCAAAAAAAAATTTCAAGACAGCACCTCAATTAAGCAAAACTGCTTTCATTCAGAACCTTTACAATTCATCAGTCATCCTGCCATTCAATGATACATAGCACAACTACTGAAGAAAATCATAAAATAACCCATGAAAAATAAATAAATATTTGACATATCAGTTTTTAATCTAGTAGTAATTAGTCATTCCTCCTCTTTTCCCCTCACATACATAAATATGCATGTACACACACAAATGCAGTGTGAACAACACAGATTATAACAAAAGAGAACATGAGGTTTGAGGTTTTCATGCTGGTGGATATAAGACCGGCAGTCTTTTGGTATGTCACACTGTGTAGTATGGTAGATATGTACCATTGTTCTGAAGGAATCTGCTGCCTCCATATCCCACTGAAGATGGGAAGGCAGGTTTTCTTCCAAAATTTTGATAACCATCTAATGGACTACAGTGTCACATACAAGAAGACTGAATCTTAAATACCCAAAAGGCTGTGATAATTTTCTATTAAGATGTAATTTACAGACATTATATATTGTGTAATCTGACAAATAGGTACATATCTACCAGACTACACACTGTCATATTCTAAGAGACCACAATCTTAATATTCAGCACCTTCAAAACCTCAAATTTCATGTAGTGATCCTCCACAGCATGACTACTCTCCATATCTTCAACAGATTTGAATCTCTCTGGATTATGCAAAGCAAGCAGCTCAGCTCCATCTCCTTCCTGAAGAGACTACAGCATGGTTCCCTGTTTCTTGCAGTTCTAGTTTGGCGCCTAGCTAGGGAACTACAAAATTTCACACCTGAAGAGATCACAATCTTAACATTCCTCGACATGAGTATCTCAGATCTCTAAATCATCTGTCATGCTTTTAGCATTTTATTACATATCTCCTATAAGATCACACATTAATTCTGAATATTGTTTAATGCCAACTACTGGCAAAAAAACAGTAACTAACTGAAACTTCATGGTATATTTTAGAAGGCAAAACTTAACAAGTAGAGTCTGTTAAGGCTGATTATACTAACTGGCCTAAAAATACTGACTGCAACCCAAACATATTCTTTTTCTTAAGCTCCAGTGTCCTCATATGAAGTCAACTGATGTCTCTCAAGTTTCTTCTTCATTTTGTTTCAATGATAGAATTTGCAGAGAGTTGGGAAAGTGGAGGAGGTAATATAAAACAGAGAGACTTGGACAAAGTGCACAGATACTGCATATTCTTGGAACAGAAGTAACACACCTCTCAATCAACCCCCTCACTGTCTGTTATTCTGAATTTGTAACCACCCATAAATCCAAGTTCTGGCTGCACAAGGAACTGTTAAAAGCCATAATAAAAAATCCGTCATTAAGCTTAAATTTATTGAAAATTGATTATTATTTGTCTGGTGGCAAAGAGGAAAAATTTTTTTTTTAACATAAAACTATGGATCTGAGGTTTAGCATGCCAAATGAGCATATACCAGCAGCTGTTTTTGACCTTGAGTTTTCACAGCTTTTGGAGTTTAATTCCAATGTACACTGAAGCTGTTCCAACATTTTGGCATACACTGCAGTCATCATCTTTAGGGTGAATGAGGTGGAAGGAGTAGAAGTGAGGGGGGGATATGACCCCTTCTGATTAAAATTTAAATTTGCTAGTGGGGGGTGGAGTCTAGCTGGGTCCACTCAGCACGGTGGCCACTGATTGGCCTATTGTACCTGCCCCGGGTGATTATGATGATGGAGAATTTGGTGGAATGAAGATTGGCAGGGGAAACCAAAGTATTCGGAGAAAACCCGGCCCAGCGCCACTTTGTCCACCACAAATCCAACTTGACCAGACCCAGGATCAAACCTGGGCTGCCGTGGTGGGAAGCAAGCGACTAACTGCTTGAGCTATGGTGCAGTGGCCCCTTCTGATTGCATAGCACCATGCTCCACCCTTCTTCACTTCCATTATGAGATTTACAATTAGCTCACTTCCTCTTTCTGTGTCATTTACCCTGAAGACAGCAAGTGTAATACATGCCAAAACACTGGAACAGTTTTAAAATATGTTGCAGCTAAGTCCTGAATGCCAAAATTACATCTCAGCAACAGTTACATACCAGTTTTCTGAATATAATGAAACCTGAAAGGCTGCATCTCTTGAAAATAAAAAATAATTGATAAAATAATGATATAAAGAAGTCACTGAACTTGCAGGAGGAAACAAATCAGAACCACAAAATATTTATAACACAAATTTATTTTACGTGACTCTCAGTAACATTAAATTTATATCCTTACTCTCTCCACCCATCAAAATCTCTTTCTCCTTCTCATTTTCTGGGACCAGAGAATTAACAAGAGCTGGACTGTCATTTGTAGAATTGCGAGCAGCCATCAAGAAGAGAGCCCTTGTCATTTTCTCCCAATGACCATGGGCAAATTGCTCCAGCCACACAACTATCTCCATAGAAGAACTACCAACCCAGGACACATGACCACTGAGACGAATATTAGCATCATGCTAGAACAGGAATACAAGTACTACAGCATGACTAACTCAGAATCAAAAATGATATGAATTTAATTCATATGCAAAGATAATCATGACAGATTGGCTCCTAGGTTATTTACCAATACTTTTCCAACTGCAGAGGTTATATAGTACATATTGAAACTGGAACACAAGGATAAAAGAGCACTGGAATCTGTGATGGACAAAATGGCACTCAGTCATGTTTTCATGTTTTCCCCTTAATTACACAAAGCATATCCTGCTCCTGATCCTGGATTTCTCCTGCCAATTATCATTCCCTCAATGCTCCATACTCATCCATCATAGGGCCTTTTAATGTGCATGGGACCCTGTCTCATCCCACTCCTGGAGGAGGAGGAGGAGGAGGAAGTAGTAGTAGTAGCAGCAGCAGCAATGACGACAATGACAACAACAATGAAAGGCTTATATTCAGGAGGTACCAGTTTCAAATCTCAGCTAGATTATTAACTGTCCTGAGAATTTCTGTGGCTTTCATCAGTCTTTCCACAAATATGTTGGGAAAATAAACTGAAATATGTTATAACCAGTTCCTTCAAAATTATCACTTGCTCTGACTTTATAATCATCTTTCCATGTAATTCAAAACTATGTAACTTCCATATATGAAAGTACTGTATTATCACATAATCTAAGACTCCAGCATCACATACTCCACTGAGAAGTATGAATAATATTACTACAAGGCTACCTAACATTGTCAGAAGTAAACCTACATGAATATTAATATACAAGGACTCAGAGCAGTAAATATTAAGATTGTGGTCTTCTGGAATGCGACAATGAGGAAGCACCAACATCTGCATCCATCTTCAAAATGGAACATTTTATTTCAAAAATTTGTACCTACTCACCAAACACATTGTCACATTCCAAAAGACCATAATCTTACCAGGACCATGGACAAATAAAACAAAACCAACATACCTGAGCTTTATAGGATGTAAAAGAAATTTGATCCACAAGAACTGTGACAATTACATAGGGTGTATTGTCTTCAGGCTTCTGCTTTGGATTTTGTATATGTTTCTGTGCTATCCATACTGTAAATATTTAAGCACCATTAATTTTCAGTTTCAACAAATCAACTGCATATTATATAAAATGCTTACAATACAGTGTTATATTGTATTATCTAAAGGCCAAAGAAACTGCTACTTTTCAGCACCACCCAGTCAATTGCCTATGATTCTGTCATGTGCGGGGGTATGCATGATGAAAATAATGGGTTCTAGAGCAGATGAATTGATTTTATTGGTGTTCTTTTACAATTACACAAATGAAAAAACGTCGTCAACACTTCAGCTATTCATCTGTCTTCTAAATTCCCTTCAACTGTAGTTAAATTGTACTTTACTGTCTCATGGCTCTGGGAGCCATCAGCACTCACACCTTTTGGTTCTCAAATGGTTCTTGTTAAATAGCCTTGGCATGTACCACACAGAAAACATCATTTCCAAATTCTTCTACTGTTGTGTGCATATGTGTTATCATGGGCACATGCATTTAGGTTCCTGGCGTTCATGTTACATTGCTGTCTCATTAAGGCTGCTCATTCTGACTAGCCTACAGACATATTACAATTTCTTCTTCTCTTAGGGAACATGATTGTGATATCTGTAATCAGCCTCATGAATGGCACCTTAACACCCTGCTGGCTCTAATGTTTCTTCTTCCATTTTGTGGGAACAAAAATTTCAAGAGTCGCTGATGCTGCCAAAGCACTGGCATATAAGCTGTCAGTAGTCTCCTCTTTCATTTGGGAGGGGGGTGGCTCCTCCACAATGCCCTGTCCCTCATTTTCTGGAGCCTGACTGCCGGCTTTCTGACTTCCAGATCTAGGGTCTGGCTGAGGGCCTCCCTGAAGTAACTGCTGTTTTATGCCTGAGCCTCTTATGCTGTCTACGACTGCCTTGTCTGCTCCCTTACTAACGTGGTCCTCACATAGTGCAGGAAAGGCACAGGGTGTCAAATATTTGATGGCAGTGGCAAAATCCAGCAGGGATTCACCATCGTCATGGGTCCGTCTTTTCAGCTGATTCTTGTACCTTGCAACCAGACCCTGGTCCCTAAGTTGGTCCTCAAGTGTCCCAACAGTCTCTTCATACATAGCTCCTTTAGGGTCTCTGTAGAACATCGGAAGCCCAGCCCTGTACGGCGGTATGAAGGTGTGTGGCATCTGTGTGTGGTACCTACTGATGGTGCTCCACTATGGCTCTATCTTTTCTGGGTATGTATCTGTCATCACGGCCTCTTAACTCCTCCTGATTGGCTTCCATTCTTTCTGGATATGCCTCTGTCTTTTTGAACCAGGCCCTCTTCATTTCCAGCAGGCCTCCATCTTTTCTAAAATAGCCTCTATCACTTCTCAGCTGACACTCATCGTGGCCTTCATTCCTTCTAGGCCAGCATTCTTTTCAGCTCTCAGCTTTTCCATAATGGCTACTAAGACATTCAAATGCTGCCATGATTATCTGTCACATGGAATCCAGTCAAATCAATCCAACCAATCCAATTAATCCCAGCTGTATTGTGTTAGTGACCAGACATAGGGTTTGAATTGAAAATTCGATTTATTGAACATTTACAACTCGTAACTACAAATAATTACAGTACTATCACTAATGCACATACTAGGTCTCAGTCTGTTACGTCTTCAGTAGTCATTGCTTGGTTTACAGTCTTCACTATGCATCACTAGGTTACAGCTGTTAACAATGAAGTTTCTTATAGTTCCATGCTCAAGTCTTTGTTGGAGAGCAAATGGCTTGCAAATAAACTCTCAACTGCAGTTCATGGACTGTTACCCATAACTGGCTAACTTTTCCCAATGGCCCTCACTATAAAGCTTTGAGACAGACCAAAGAAGACACTGCCTCCAACAGTTCCTCCACTGTTGCATCATGTGTAAGTGAGCCACTGCCTAGCGATGGCCCACTTGTTTACTGAGCTGTTGCCTAGCAGGAGATGATTTTTCAGTCATCATGTCACAATATGGTGAAGTAACTTTTGATATTACTAATAAGGAAAACAGTTATAAATATAGAAAACCGTTACAAGAGACAAAGCTATTAATTCTGAATATATATAAAAAAAATGTGGAAACTAATGCCACAGCTCATCAGGATCATTTTCTCAATTAAGAATAACAAAAATGTTATGTTACAAAATGACACACACACATAGCTCTTCCACACACCCCCGCCCCTAAACTAATACCATGGAAGAGATCTTTACTTGGGAAGCTAACACTTGCTTAACTAGTCATGAAACTCCCCAAATTTACAGAACTTGAAAGTACATTACTGTGTCACAAGAACCCACTGTGGGCATAACATGTTGGCTTCTGCAGTGGGATGTTGTCAGCCCCCACTCCCACCCCCACCCTCAAGTTGGAGAACAACCATTCTTCCACTGTTCATGGCCGTTTATTCAATATATTTGCAGCTACTGCCATATGTGAAGTCCTTGTCCTTAGTCAACAACAAATATCGTGATCAAGTGGCTAGAACTCCTGCTTCATATTTGGGAGGTCACGAGTTCAAGTCTCTGTCATCCTGACCAAGGTTTTCATGACTTTCCTTGGTCCTTCCAAGCAAATTCCAGAACAGTAGCTTAAAACTGATCATGACTGTTTCCTACCACATCCTTTCCATTTCATTATTCATCAATCATTCTATTATTTGAGGATATACAGTGTGAACTATTGACAGTGTCATTAAATAAATCATAGACAAAGAAATCCATCCCAAACCTGAGAATGTGCCATGTCACACTGACATATTACCCACTTAACATGGTATGTAATGTTCTTGCTGATGAGGAATGAACCACAGAAAAACTCAAAGATATAATATTTGTAAAGCAGGACAACTGCATCACACTCATATGACAGATTCAAGGTACAGTACTTGTTTATTTCTGTTCAATCATGACTCATCACTATTTAGTTAATAATAACAAAACAAAAAACAAAATCCGTGGCCTGTAGTCCAAAAGTGAACTATACCATCCGAGCAACCGCCGCTTGTCTGCAAAGTTAGTGCCAACTTATGTGGATAGAGGGTGTCACATGGACAGCACAATGGATCCCCATGGCCGTTAATCTCGGTTCTTTAGTTAATAATGCCAAACTTTATTTATATCAAGCCATTCCTTACAGTAAAACCGTTACATAGAAAATCATTCTGGTGTCAGTTAGGGCAAAGGAAAAAAAAAAACTTGTGTTTGTAAGTCGGTGTTTCTGAAACATCATAGAACTGACTGAAGTGTCATGGCTGATATGTATAAATTCTAATTCTTCAGTTTCCTCATGTGAACCTAATATAAATCAAAACAAAGATGATACAAAATTAACTCTGTAACCTTCCTAATATGTAAAACACACACAGCTATTAAAAGTTATGTGGAAATACTGCAGTAGAGTTTTTGGATCCAATTCAAAACATCAGTTCCAGTTTCCTTTAATTACATGCAAAACTGTAATTTCTTAATTTGATTGTTATGCCTTCTTTAAAGTCTTTGCTACTCCATACTGTAACATTCAAAAGAAAAACATCAATGTGCACAACAAAAAATATATACTTCTGAATGTATCACATAAAAATCGAAACATCATTACAGTTAGCATACTGTAAAATTGGAAATTTGGAAGACATGCAGTTTCTACTTGATTTCGACAAAAACCTGTGTAAAAGTCCTAAAGTTTCTTACCACTAAATTTTTTAATGACTTCATTTCCAATCAGTGTTTGAAATTACTGTTAGTTTATATTTCTTCACAAACCACAAGTAATCATTTGATATTCACCTGCAAATATGTCCATATCTTCTAGCAACCTGCCCAGTCTTACATAACCTTCAGAAGCAACATATTTCTCTTGAAGCAAAACATCATCTTTCAAAGGAATGATGACACTTGCAAAGCTGTCCTATACAAAGAGCAAATAAAGCACGTATCTGACAACACATTAATTCCTCAAAACTACATATCAATTCATTACTTGAACAGAAGTGTAAAGATGCATGCCTTCTTGAATATGAAGTATTTAAAACGCATTCTTTACAATTCTGCATACCACATTGCTGTTCATTTACCACTGATTAAAATCAAGTATCACAAATATAGATCAGTCAGTACATGGAACAGTTCATGGGCTGGATGACTGGGAAACAAGGGTTCAATCCCAGCAGAGGCAGAGATCTGTCTCTTCGCCATAGCATCTGGACTGATTCTGGGACCCACCCAGCCTCCTATTAAGTAGGTACCAGGGAATCTCTACTGGGAATTAAGCAGCCAGGGCATGAGCTGACCACACACCTCCATCTAGTGCTAAAGTTATAAATATGTGGTGCTATACCTTGACTCCCCTACACACCTTCATGATGTGGTGCTTCATTAAGCACAGAGACAAGTTTTGTAAATACATTGCTCTAAGGCTCATCATGCTATTTATAACACTGCAAGGGCATGAATGATTTCTCCTAGCAATTACTTCAATATCTGACATCACAGAGTGCACCAAATAAAAGCTGTGTATCGTAACAAGATCTATGTTATGTGTCAAGTTCCAGTTTTTTGTGCAATGGGCCATTTTTGAGAAAAATTTCAGTGAACATCAATTTTATGTTAATGTAAATTATGGGTTACATAGCAACACTTAAGAGCAAAATTAAATTCACCCCGCAGCTTTTGGTGCAGACTTCTAAATCAAGTTTCAACATAATCTACTGCATGATTCTGAATATTAAATATTCAGACAGGCGGACATTATTGCCTATTATGCAATAATTTTGTGCTCTTTGTTGAAGGAAAAATTAAAAAAAAAATACTTGTTCTGGTTAAGGAATATTCTATGCCAGATCAGCTGTAGGCCTAATATTCTTAACAGCACCTGAAATGGCCACAGAAGTGTTTATATAACCCAAGAGTAATTTCTTTTCTCTAATAATGTGGAATACAGACTTACGCTCATTTTACGAGGTGGCAGATCTGCTTGGGAAGTTGGCAATAATGACAACAGATGACTTCTGGAACTCTGAAGTGGTTTGTAACCTCTGTCTATGCCCATACAATTGATCAGCCGTTCTTGCACTACAGGAATAATACTAAAATGGTTAGAGATGACACTGGTGCCTCTATTAACCAACCATGCTTATTCAGATTAAAACAACAGTTCCTTTACTATAGTTTATAAACTTTTGGGGCAATGGGAAATATAATTATGTAAAAAATTAGGCAAACAAAAGTTCGTTTCCAATTAAGAATACTGTCTTCAAATGCTGGTATCTATCTAAGAACAATATGGTGTCACATCCTGGGAGATAATAATAATTAGCTACTGCCATGAGAATCCAAATTATCACATCATTTCCCATTATTTATTGCCAATAATTACAGATGCAATGACCTATGATAATATACATAGAGTTAATAGAAGAAGATAAATTTACAGATTATCTATTTATTAAAATTAGAAATGATCAATTTGAAATGAACAAAATGGCTTCTAGTAATACACAGAGAGTGAAGTAAAATAGGAACAAATCAAAAACAGGGAATGATATATCATCAATAGGCCATGATTCACCCACTCACTGATGCCAAAGGTTCTGAGGTTCAGCATTTTCATATTACTGCCAGAACAGTTCAGTCAGTATAGCAATGGGCTACAGGCTAGACCTGATGAAACAGGGGCAAGAGATTTTCTCTTTTCTAAAATGTCCAGATCTGCTCTGAGGCCCACCCAGCCTCCTACCAAAGGCTCATTCACTGGGGATTAAGTGGCTGGGATATGAAGCTGGCCACTCACTTCCATCCAATGTTGAGGTCAAGAATAGTGGAGCTATACCTCCACTCTCCAATATATCTTCATGGTGTGGTGGTTAATGAATTTAGCACAGAGAAAACTTGACCCTTTTCTTCTTTACCTTTTATGTTATTAATGTGACAAGAAATTAATACAAAATTTTTAGTTGGAAAACCTAATGAAAACAGACCATGGGAGGCATGGGCATAGATAGCAGGATAATAAGAAATATCTTTTAAGGAAGTGGACTGGATTCAACTGGGTAAGGAGACCCCCCCAATAGTAGGACCTTGTGAACAAAGTGATAAACATTCAGGTTCAATAAAAGAGAGGGAATGTCCTGACTAATAAGTGAGTGTTAGTTTCTCTAGGGCTCTGCTTTGTGGATAAACTATAAGAGAAGTGAAAGGATACTAAGAGAATTAAAAACAGTAGCCATATTAGACAAAATTTCAAAATATAAAACTGTATAGGCTTGACATGTTGACAGAATACTAAACAACAGACATGCGAAACTATTCAAGATCACAAACCACATGGCTCAAGAAATCAGGGCACACCTTTGAAGAAATGTCAATAGCTTGCATAATTAAAAACACAACAAAATTCATATAATGAACAACAGGCATACTATTTACTTGTCAGCCATACTTTTACTAGCCATAGACACACATAAGGACACATCTGTTCACATTATTTTCAGACTCAAAATCATGTAGCTATTTTGTGCAAAGAAATGGCCACATATTATTTTCAGATTCAAAGCCATGTGGTTATTTTGTGCAGTTTTATTGGTTACTCCTATACTATAATTTGAGATTAAGAAATGTATCTGTTGCAGTAATTGGCCAAACAAACTGACCATGTAAAATTAAGCCCTAAGCATATAAAAGGAAAGAAACTTATAGATTCTAAAATGTCCTGATGATGGATGTAACACTCAGAATTACTGGGTGTTTGGACTTCGTTCATCATCCAGCATTCTAAAACCCATAAAACACAATATTTCAGAAACCAGAGCTGTTTCCATCCTCAAGCGAGGGGAGAGACGATTATTCTGTTGGGTCCCTTAGAAAGAGTTAACCTCAATCATTCCTTCTAATGGACCCAACAGAATAGTTGTCTCTACCCTCACCTGACGATGGAAACAGATCCAGTTTCTGAAATGTTGTGTTTTCTATTTTTTAGAATACCGGCCAATGGACAAATTCTGAAAACCCAGTAATCCCAAAAGAAACTTATGTTTGAGCCTCACTGCTTGAATGATAGAACTGTCTGTCTGTTTACAAAGTAACAAAATGTGATCCATGTGTAAACACCTATTTTCATACTTTGGTTGCATTGAACTTGTTCTGAAAGCTGAACTTGCAGGCCTGTTTATAGCAGTGAAATAAGACTGAGACACTTCACCATTTATTGTATTAATAGGTACATTATACTCACGAAAAGCCCTGTGAATATTCGCATTTCACTCACCTTCTGCTATAGTGAGCTCCTCTGCAGAAATCTGTCCACTGATTTGGACATTTATGCTGTCACTGCAAAATGTACTTGCACTTCTGTCATGCAAGATACAGGTTGGTTATATTTTTTTCAATGATTATATGCATAAAATAAGACAATAATATATTTTACTCATAATTATAGACACAGATTTACAGTAAACAAAGAACTACAATTCATTAAAGTAGGGTTATGTTTCTCTATCATACTACATACACATTACACACATGTAACTGGGCACAAATAAAATAAATGAATAGCTTAGGATGTATATTATCTTCATGACTTACGCATTTATTCTGACATATTTCTTCAGCAAACCCATATTCCTGAACATGCTTTTAAAAGGGTGACTAGCCATTTTCACACTTCAAACACCTATTGTCAAGGAGGTCAAGGTCAAGTTGCTCAATATGATGTAACTTATCCATGACACAGTACCTGTTGGAATCCAAAGGCCAGTACCAAATGCATGTTATGTCCAATGCTTCTAATTTACATCTTTAATCAAAAAATATCTCTCTGGTATTACTTTTGCGAAGAAATTACAAAATTAGCATGTTATTTTCATTGTTTCTAATTTATATCTTTAATTACAACAAAATCAGGTGTGGCTTTTCCATGAAACATATTCACAAAACAACAAGTAAATTAAATATGCAATAACACGTTCGTGATGTGTATTTGTACCAACCGTCTTACAGTGCACACAATTTCACATTTCTCTTCACTACATGTTTCGGCACTAATGTGCCATCTTCAGGTGTGGTTTTATTTACATCAAACCATTGCACTGTATGCCATCATGTCTCCTTTATAAAATGATTAAAATGTAAATTTGTCATGTATAATAATAAAATTTATATATTAAAACTTTTCNTCTTGAAAAGTTTTAATATATAAATTTTATCATTATACATGACAAATTTACATTTTAATCATTTTATAAAGGAGACATGATGGCATACAGTGCAATGGTTTGATGTAAATAAAACCACACCTGAAGATGGCACATTAGTGCCGAAACATGTAGTGAAGAGAAATGTGAAATTGTGTGCACTGTAAGACGTTTGGTACAAATATACATCATGAACGTGAATCAGTGCAACAGGATGCTAAAATATAACATTATGCAATAACACTTCTATATGTATATAAATTAAATATATAGTAGTGTAGTATACTGTTTTCCTTAAATTTAAAACTAATTATGTTGTAAAACAATCACAAATTTTGGAATTACATGTATTCACTTCATTGAGAAATCTTCTTATTCCTTTTTTGGCTTGTGTTTCAAACACGATGCAGGGCCACAGACAGCTTTTGCTGATGCTGCAGCGTCAACACCTAGAAACAAATCACAGGTATATCATTATGTAAGATGAGAAGCTTTGATTGAAAATAAACCAATGCTTCAAAGGTATCCTTCATCTTTACTATCAGAATCTGAGTCAATCCTGATGAAGGAGACAGAAGAGATCTTTGAAACGTTGGTTTTGAACCCAAAATTGACACATATGATCACCTGAGCAGATTTTAGCACAGTTTTAGTACTGTCAGTGAAATGTAAAGACTATATAAGAGGTTGTTACAACTGCATGTAAGGTACTGTGTGTCAAGGGAATGGATAACTGAACCCATGATTCAATTCAAGCACATTCTGAGCATGGTGAAAGATTATCTGGTGTTTCATTATTCACTACACCATGGAGATATATAGAAGAAAGGAGCTATAGCTCATTCAATATTAACAACAGCAGTAGATGGAGATGAGCAGTCAGATTCATGTCTTGGCCACTTACCCCAAAGGAAAGAACTCTTAGTACCCAACGGATTCAAGGCCAGGTGAGCTCTAGAGCCAGTTTGGATGTGATGACACGAGAAAATTTCTATCCCTGGAGGGAATTGAAGCCCAACTGTAAAGTCCATAGCCTCCTCCTCCTCCTCCTCCTCCTTCTTCTTCTTCTTCTTCTTCTTCTTCTTCTTCATAAGGCTTGACAGCTTCACTTCTTGAATGCTTTGGCCTGCTCAACAATTTCCTTCGAACTACTCCCGTGTGCGAGTTATCCAGTTATAAATTCCTAAATCCCTCAGCTCTTCCTTTACATCTGACATTTTCCTAGATTTCAGTAAAGTCTTAACATTCCAGGTTCCTATCACTAATTTACTTTCTTTATTCCTTAGAACTCACTTTTATTGTCTCCAAAGACAAGATATTACAAATTTTACTGCTTACTCTTATCAATATACATATATGCCAGCCATAGTTATTAAATTAATGTGTATGTATTGCTGTAGAGTTTCTTGGATGTGCTTTAAATAATTACTTCTAATCTTTTCTTTCCCTAGTTACATGAATAAACTTTAATTTCTTATGCTGGGTTTAAGGTTCTCACAGTGGTGACTATGAACAGGACTATGTTTTTGTTTTGTTTGTTGCTGGCAACTTGCTTGCCTTATGATTATACCCCGAAGATAGAGGCAGTGTGTTCCTCAGAAACACTGATGAACTTGTACTGGACTACACAATGTTATATCCAAGAATTTTTCAACTTGAGTGTTATTTCTTCTTTAATGTTTGAGATGCTACATATTGTGACACTGAGAAGGAATGCAACCACATCACAAGTGAAGAACAGGCATTTTTACATACACTAGAGTATATGTAGACCAGTAACAGTAAAGAAAAGTAGTTTTCAGAGAACATTAGAATTCCGTGAGTAACACAGTAAGGAAATCATTCTCCTAGGTCATTCAACATGTTAAAGACAATCACCATCCAAGAGAGCTGCATCCAGTGTTATGACGCTAGCAGAAGTTGAGCTCTTACTGGATCTAGATGATTCATGATTACTGGCCAAATCTTGGGAAGAACAAGTGGCACACAACTGAATAGATGATGGTGAACCTGGAAGTATTTTTAAGAAATTGTCATTTACATAAACATACCGTATACCATGGTGGGACTGGAGTGTTGGTTTCTCTTTCAACTTAGCTGCAATGGCAATGTGGGCAAAATAAACTTATTTCAATAAAATGGTACTAATAGCAAGCCTAACTTGTGGCTCAGAATTACTCCACAATTCGGATCCACTGTCTTGAGGTAAATTTACCATTCTGATTATTTAACCTTCTCCTATCATCTGTTGGATGACTTCTGACATAATTTTCCGATACAGGTCCACTACCAGAAGCTTTCAAGTGCTAGCTTGATGATTTCATGCCAAACCATGTGCTGTGTGCTTTTTCATTCATAAGACTTTAGAGGTCAGATGGTAGGTTAATGAAAATTTTGATCCCAGCATAATATGTTCTTTTCTGAAAGAATGAGAAGTTAGCAGTTGGTTTATGAAGATAGTGCTTGTGACTTGTGTTAACACTGTGTACATCTGTATTGGCCTGAAAATGTTCTTAGTTATTCATAATGAAGTTTATTAATGAAAATATATATTCATATGGAAGAGTTAAGATTTCTAGTCTCTTAAATAGATCTCTAAAGGAATTATGGGATTTTTGACACCCATCATAATTCCGATAATGTTGTTTTGCAATGTAAATACCTTTCTGGTGTCAGATAAATTATTGCATATTTTGTTAAAGAGTGAAAGTAAGTAAAATAAATTGTTTGAGAGTGTCAGTATTTCTGATAAGCAACATAGATCTAACTGCATAACATGCCCCACTTAGCTTTGGAACCAACTGATCAATTAGGTTTCTCCAGTTTAAATGATATCAGTTTGTAAGCCAAGGAATTTTGTGATAACCACCTCTTCTATATTTTCACGTAGGAGGGGTTAGCATGACTGATAATTGTGCATTCTAAATTTGATAACTGGGTTTAATGAACACTTCTTCACAATTACAATCAATTACAGTGCCATTGTTAATCTCCACAATTCACTAGGACATGCTCCACTCTCATCCTTGTACTCTCAAATACTGCTAGCTTCAAGTCAAAGTCAAGTCAAAGTCAAACTGCGAATGATGCTCAGTCAGTCAGTAAGTCTTGGTGTTGAGCCCCATCTGGGGCTCATGACCAAATATTTATTTCTGTTTGACAGTTACGGTCTTGCTTTTTGTCGGGTGTCCTCTCTGACAAGAGGATGGGTCTGTCATTTGTACATGCTGCTGCCCCTTGCCAGCACAGTCTACCTCAGGTCCAAGTCCCTTGGTACTCACAACCAATATTTTACTGTCTCAGATTTGAAACATCCCTTTTTGTCGCCTCTGACGACTTGTAGGGTCACAGTGGAGGTATTCTTATATTAAACTGCTTGCATTTGATGGAATTATTATTTTCTTAAAAAAAGAAAACCATCCAATATTTAAAAGTTAAAAATCTTATACCTGGTCCTGGAAGTGCATGTTTGCTCAGTGATGGTGATCTCTTTACAGGTGAGTGTCTGAGAAAATCTCGTGATGAAATACAGCTGAGAGATCCTCCAGGACTATGAGACATGGGAAGAACCAGACACTTCTCCTCCAGATAGCGTGTCACTACTGGCCCTGCCTCTATGTGACGAGCTACAAATTCAGCCAACTGCTGAAGAGCACTTTGGTTCTGTTCTTGCAACTCACGCACCTCGATATCTTTCTGCAAATCCAGAAGGGATTCACCAGAACACCTTATTCTTTGACTGTTTAAAATGTAATCATGCACAGCACCTACTTTAACATTCAAGTACTGCATAATTAGGAGCGTCACAACTTGCACTCTTCACCAAGTATGATTAGAAAGAGACATAGTTAGTGCCTGAGCTTTCCTTTCTGCATGAAATTATGAAAATAAATTATTTGGAGACATAGGACTACAAATAGATCAAGTGAATGCACTGAGCCTTATTTATGTTTCAAATTATAAGAATAAATTATCAAGGTTGCCCCTGTATGTAATGAGTATGCCATGAAGGTGTTCAGGGGAGGGTAGGTAAAGGTGCAGGCTGGAGATGAATGACCAAAATCAGAAACTGGCTGCTTTGCTTCCAGTATTCATTGGCTAGGCAGAAAAGTAGGCCCCATGACCTGTCTGTCCATCATGGAGAAGAGAACTTCTCCTACTGGGAATCAAACCCCAGGTCTCTAATTTTTAGGCTGTTTCTCTCCTGACTAAAAAAGTATACTAGATAACAGCCTGCTGAAATCTAAGATAAAGTGAAAATATTAATGCAGGAATCCAATCTGATTCCATGGAAAAATATTCTTTATTGAAAGAAACACAAATACAATTTATAAGGGAATTATTTAGAATAAATAGTGAAGTTTAGAGGTTTGTCATAATAAATTCATGTATATTTAAGCTACAACTTCATTTGTATATCATGTATGCTATTCAAGAACTTATGGGCATTGCATCATTAATGAAGAAAATGTCAGGAAAGACTATACCTGTAATTGATTCTACACATGGGATTAATTAAGCAGTTCTGTATTCAGGAAGCAGTGATGTTCATCATATGAGTGATGAAGTTCTTAACAGTGCTGATGCACAAATTAAAATAAGTGTAAACCCTATTCTATATAAGCCTACTGCAAAGACACATTTCCTAGAGGAATTTCAAGTCATATCTAATATATTGCCATTTATTTCCTAGTAGTCTACTATCAAGGAGACTAATAATATTAGGCATATATATAACACAAACAATTGTATTATTTTGTTGCTGAATACGCTTGAAATTAACAGGAGACATGTATGAATAGAGCTTACACAAATACAGCCATTGATATCAATGCTAATAGCTCAAGCAGTTAGTCGCTGGCTTACCACCATGGCGGCCTGGGTTCGATCCCGGGTTTGGTCAAGTGGGATTTGTGGTGGACAAAGTGGTGCTGGGGTGGGTTTCCTCCGAGTACTTCGGTTTCCCCTGTCAATCTTCATTCTACCAAATTTTCCATCATCATAAATAATCACCTAGGGCAGGTACTATAGGCCAATCAGTGGCTGTTGTGCTGAATGGACCCAGCTGGACTCCACCCCCCACTAGTAAATTAAAAAAGAAATCAATGCTAAACTGAAAATATTAATACAGGAATCCCATTTCTTACAGGCCATCAGACTCTGGAGAAAGCCACTCCTTATTAGAAGTAAATGACTGCTTCCTTGTTCGTGACCTACTACATAACTTGCATTCACGGAACTTGTTAACACTTGGGAGTTCATTGCTATGGTGACCCAGGGTTGCATAATTTCAGAGCTTTTATTAAATGTCAGAAATCTTATTATATATGTAGGCAGACATTTATTGTGCTGTTAAGACAAAGGAATTTTAAGATGTAAAAAACTAAACTGACCTTCTCCAGTGCCATGGGCTTTGTCTGGCTCACTCCTCTTAATTCTCTTAGAGCTTTGTGTAGCTGTTTTTCTGCACGTTGAAGTTTAGAAATTTGTTCTTGCAAATCCTTCTCCAAGTCACTTGAATCTTGATCTTTGTTTTGCCATACAGCACGGAGATTACCTTCTGTTATGAATATATCCTTTAAAGCTTGTTCCAGTATCTGAAAACAATGCCAAAAAACTGAAAACTGCTGACACAAATATTGAACTTTATAGTTTGGCACAGCATCCCAAGGATAAAAGGAATTAACATATTTCACCACATTTTGTGAGTACATTAATCAAGAGATTTAAAGTAAAAAAAAAAAAAGTCTGCTAACATGGATTTAATGTAGAAAATTTAAATAGTCATGGCAGTTTGAAAGTACATTAGGGTCATACCAGAAATAAGGGTTTTTAATGACAAATTTCACAATAAGTTCAATATAAACTAACAGTATCATTAAATAATGAAGTATGTTAAAATCTGTTCAAAGCATTTGGTGACTTCTTGAATGCTCAACTAATCATAACATATTACTAATTCAGTTGGCAACACAGTGTTCAAATATGTATTCCTGTTGAAGGCAGACACTTTGAACAGTTTCTGTACCATGTTTCTTCACTAAATAACATTTATTTAGTTTTATATCGAAGTTATTGTGACATCTGTATTGAAAACCTTTTTCATTTCTAGTATATCATTATCTTACTCTCAAACTGTCATGTTTCGTTGAACTTTCCAAATTGGACCCCTGCACACAGGACCTTCTTTACTCAGAATCACTTGAGTTTCTGAGTTACCTCAGTCTGACTGCTGAGTTCATTCAGCTGTGATGTCTGTTGTCTCCATGTATTGACAGCAACATAATAAAGAGATTCCAACTCCTCTTTCTTTTTATACTCATCACCTGTAAAATAACATAAGAATAATAATGATGATAAATACAGGAAGTCAAAAGATTCATATTGTGTTCTTGTGGGTTAAGATACTGTGTATTCTGGTAGGTGGGTATGGTGTGTTAGAGGAACATACTGCCTCCATCTTCTTCACTACCATGAAAACACGAATTCACACCCATACAGAACCATAGACAAAATTATAGTTTTGTATATTCCAATTTTTATGTTTTTAGACAGCAGACAAGAAGACAAATGGTTCACTACTGAATGGTAGCAATCATTACTAGAATTCAATCTCCTTTTAATATCCTCCTGAATCAGGTTTTCATTGGTTACAGTTCCCAAATATCTGAACTGTGCCATATTTTCAAAATATGTTACATATCTTTATGTCTTGATTTTGCCCTGCATTCTGGTGATGAGACAGCAAGAGTTACTTAGTGTTCTCTGTGTTTACTTCTAGACCAACCTCCTTCCTAGTGCCAATTAAAGTTTGTGTGTTTTTATTTGTGGTATCTATATTATCACCCAGTAGATTCACATTAACAGCATAGACCAACAGCTGATATACCCCATTTAATTGCAGTCCCACCTGGTTTTCTTGGACCTTCCTAATGGCATATTCTGAAACAAAGTTGAAAAGCAGTGGAGACAAAGCATCTCCCTGTTTTAGACCATTCTGGATAGGCAAATTATCAGACAAATGTTTACTTGTACAGACTTTAATGTATGTTTTGTTTAAAAACATTTTAATTAGCCTGTGGGAACATCCCACATTATCACGCATTTTCTGCAACGCACACTCTTCACATCACTTTTCACCATCACGCGCGCTAACCAATCAAATTGCTCCAAACGTTCGCATTTATACTGCGCTTGCTGCTAGCCCCGCATCTACACCATCACGCGCGCTAGCCAATCAGCGCCCTGCAAATTCTTCCTCCTCAATTTCAAGTTTCACTCTGCCCACCGAGCAGTGTATAAAAAGGAGCAGCCGCAAACCGGCAGCATCAGTCTGACTTCAGTCTACGATCAAGCCACACTCAAGCAACATCAGCCAGCAGACTACGTCGCCAGCGCTCGGTCTTCGGAGGCATCGGCAGGCTGCGCCAGGCATGACTGCCTTGGCCCTCTGGCTCTCACACCCGACGCACTGGGGCACCTTGCCTGGACTCGCTGGTGGTCATGTCCCTGTCTGACCCACTGGGCATCTGGCGTAGCCACTGCCTCATCACTCCTGCGACCGTGCTGCGCGACCACGCAACTTCAACTCACCTGCCACACGGCGATCAAGCAACCTCCAGCAACGGCCACGCCGTGGCCAGTCAAATCACTGCAACTAACCTCTCTCCCTACTGATGCGTGCCGCGCTACCTCACCAATCAAACATCTCAGCAACCACGGTCCTTTTCAGGACCAACAAACTGTTCTGAAGAAGTGGGTTGTCATCGGAGTAATGAGGAACAACAAAGGCAAAAATCCCACAAGCCCAACTAGTTTTATGGGTACCCTAAACTCTATGAGAATACCGCACAATACTTCCTCCTAACTGAATCATAGGCTTTCTTGAAGTCTAAGAATAGCCTATGCACTGTCTCATTGCACTCCCATTTTTTCTCCAGTATCTGATGAAAGCAAAAGATCTGATCAGTAGTTGATCTGTTATGTCAAAACCCACACTGATGGTCCCCAATAATTTCATCTATGTATGGACTCAGAGAAGAATATTGGATAAAATTCTGTTTGAAGTTGATAGCAGTGATATCCCATGATAATTACTACAGTCTCTTTTATAACCCTTCTTGTGAAATGGTACAATAATATACTCCTTCCACTGATCAGACATTTTTTCCTTATTCCAAATAGAATTAATTAGCTTATGGATCTTAGAATATAATATTTCACCTCCTGCTTGAATCAGTTCTGCTGAAATTTGATCACTACCTGCTAATTTATAACTTTTCAACTTTGCAATACAAATTTCAACCTCAAAAGGGCTAGGATCAGGTACTAACGGCTCAGCTGTATGTATTTCTATCTGTCTAACATCACTGACCCTATGTACATTCAGTAACTAAGAGAAGTAGCTCTTCCACCTATTCAAAATATTGTGGGAATCTGCAAGATCACCATTCTCATCCTTCACTTAGTTACTTCTAGGTTGGTAACCCCTCTTAAAGTCATTTATTCTTCTATGCCAATCTCTAATGTTCTTGTTCTTACTATTCGCTGCAAGCTCATCAATTTTGTCTTTCAGAAATTCCCTCTTTTTATTCCTGAAATGTCTGCTGATTTCATGTTTTATATGGGTCAGATTATCTCCATTTATTTCATTTGGATCCTGCAACCACTGCAATTTGGTTTGTTTCCTTTGGTCTAATAATTTTGAGCATCTTTCATAGAACCATGGCTTATGCTTCTTCAATTCATAATAACCTACACTCTCCTTGGCAGAAATTTTTATATTCTCTCTAATGGTTTTCCAGGATCTATTAATTTCCACCTAAGTGTCTTAAGTTTTCCAAAGCTGCTAACCTATCAGAGATTTTAACACGATACTGCTCTTTACTCTCTACCTCATTTAATCTCTTGAGCTTGAATCTCCCCATATGAACTCTGTGCATTGTTTGTTTACTCACTGCCAGTCTCTACCTAACTTTTGCCACCATCAGATAGGGTTATCACAATCTGCTGCCCTGAACAAACAGACATCAAGTATACTTGAATGCCATTTCCTGTCTATCAAAGTATGGTAAATTTGGTTGTGCAACTTTCCATTAGGAGATATCAAAGTAAATTTATGAATGTTACAATATGGGAACATTGTACTTTTGACAAATCTTTGCATGTGGCAAAGTTTACTATTCTAACTCCATTATCATTATTAATTTTGTGTAAACTCTCATTTCCAATTGTTGGTTTGAAAATGTCTTCCCTACCCTTTTGGAACTGAAATCTCCTAACAAAATTTTCATATGGTATTTAACAGAATTTATCAAATACATGTTTTAGTTCTTTGTAGAACCTGTCCTTTATATCATCAATTTTGTCCTCTGAACATTCAGAATGATGATATTGCACCAGTGATCTCTTAGTATTATGTATGACATTCTATCACTAACAAACTCTACCCTCTTAACTGCTGATGTGATTATCTTATATACGAAAAAACCTGTACCTAATTCATGATTCTCATTTCCCCTTCCATACAGAAATGTATATTTGCCTGCTGGTTTGGTACCACCTCATTCCCATCTGACCTCCTGTACTTCCACTGAATCTAACATATCTGAGATTTCTTCTGCAACTGCTCTGAGTGAACCTGCCCTACACATACTTCTAACATTCCAGGTACAAAATCTCATATCCATTTTCTTTTGCATAGGTTGTTCATTCAAAGAATCTGTCCAGGTCTGAGGCTTCTTGTGATCTTTCATAACAAGCTTATTCTTTATGGGGGTGAGTTGTTGGCCCCATGCCCAAACTCCCCCAGAGGACCACCCATTGTTAGCTGTTCGCGATTGCTTATTCAATATATTTGCAGCTACCCTCCTCCGTCCACAACCTGAGGACGTGCCATGCTGTGGTGACAAGTGTTAACTCTTGCCTATTGTCTAAAACTCTGAAAGGGAATCATAGAATTCAGGGACATTTGCTTGCTCAGTGTTCCATTATTATACATGTTCACTACTGGCTTGAGACCAGACACTGTTTGCAGAACAAGGTAATATTATTTTTGATTTGGGGATCCTACAGCAGTGACTATGGAGAGTATTATCTTCTTGGTTGCAATCCCATATAGTTTGATATAAGACTGCCATAATTTCAGTGGAACATATCACTTCCATCTTGAGCCACTGAAGCTGGAGATGATATATTACTCCAACACATCAGTGGGCTTCTATTAAAGTACATACAATGAAAATCTAGAAGATTGTGCTCTTCCAGGTAATACTGCTTAACTAGTCAGCTATTATACTGGTGGCACACAGTAGCATAGTTGGTTGAGGCACTATACTACAAGCCAGAAGGTTGTAGATTCGATTCCTGATGAGGTCATTTGATTTTTCAATTAGCCTAATTCTTCCAGCTGTGCTATGGCCCTGGAGGTGACTCAGCCTCTAACAGAAATGAGTACCAACAATCTTCCTGGGGTTAAAGGGCAGCCAGCATGTAAGACTGATGACCTCACCACCATCTGTGAGCTGACTGTGGACAAAACGTGAGAGCCTCGACATCTCACAACCCTATGGGTCTCCACAGCCTGCTGCAGAGATAACTCCTCCCCCCCACCACCATTATACCAGTGCTTCTGCACTGGGAGTGCAGAACATACATTTCATACACTATCAGACACAGACTGAAAGGCGCCCCCCCCAAAAAAAATAGTCTTGGAAAAATTTTTGTTCAACTCTTTCCATGTATGGAACAAATAAAATTCTATTTCAAATGAAAAATTTCTTTGTGTTAGTTATGCCTCAAAATTAGGTCCCAAATAGAAAGGAATACAAGAAATGTCACTATCAAACCAAGGGTTATGTTCAATGGAAAAGGTTCAGAAATCCATGATTTATTTAATCCGTCTTGCAGTGCATACACTCATTTTTCTCCTTCTCTCCCTCGCACTACATGTTTCGGCATAATAATGCCATCTTCAGGTGCTTACTTATCCACGTCAAACCAGTTCATTGCATGCCATGTTCACACATTAAAATAACTAAAATAACACATACCCAGGAAGCCCAATGGTATAACACACGCAGTCGCAGGAGCACGACACAACAAAACCACAACACACAAGATAGTGAAGGAGTGCTCCAACAAAGGAGAATGGGCGTGACTGACGTAGTGAGGGGCGACGTAGCGATGTGGTATCCTGAACAATTTTAATATTTTTAACGTTGGACAATGTATATGATGGATACATATTTTGGTTATTTTAATGTGTGAACATGGCATGCAATGAACTGGTTTGACGTGGATAAGTAAGCACCTGAAGATGGCATTATTATGCCGAAACATGTAGTGCGAGGGAGAGAAGGAGAAAAATGAGTGTATGCACTGCAAGACGGATTAAATAAATCATGGACTTAAATCAGTGCAACAGGACGCTAAAATATAACATTAGGTTCAGAAATACTGTACATATGCATAATTTTATGTTTCATTTAAACAAAATGATTACTACAGAAGCTCTATGATAATAACATTAAAAGTCTCAGATATTCCCCTTTCTTATTTATGAGAAAGGCATGATTTAGTAAGCTTTCTTACTCGGACATTTTTAATTTCTACTTGAAACATAATTTGATACAAACTACATTACACTCTTACTATCTTCATCTACAGTTGACAAGCTCCTTTTATATTTCTCATTTGTTGAATTTATAACCTTCAGCGTATTTTCCATAGCTTGAATTTCTTTTTCAGTTCTCCTTATTTTTGCATCCAATTCATCACCTTGCTGTTGAAGCTCATATTTCTCTTGTGCACTCTGAAATCAAAATGTGAACAGAAGGAACTTGAGAGCTCAATGCACATGATTAAAAAGAAAAATAAATACTGAACAAATAGAAGAAACTTATAGTTGATAATATACATAGTTGAAGAAATTACTACATATAGGAAGGGACTGAAAAAACATGCTGATAGAATGGGTTAAGACAGATGGCCTATGAGAGCATGGATTTGTAAATCTTATAAGCTGAAGAGTTGAGAGAAGACAGATATGCCTGAAGGAGGGTTTTCAGGCTTGTACAGGCAGAAAGATACCTAATCCACAAAGATATGGAGGACATCACTGTTTCTTAGATAACTGTTTTCTAATAAATAAAGATAAATATGTTTTCTCTGTGTTCAGTTAGTTAAGCAGTGTGCTAAGAAGATGTGTAGAGGAGTGGAGAACTCCACAGTGCCTTAATACTTTCTTAACCTTGGCACTATCATGGAGGTGACTGGTCAGCTTCATATTCCAGCCACTCTACACTCTACCCTTCTCAAGTTATCCACTAACCATCAGATAGGAGCTGGTCTGGATATAATAACAAAAGGAAAACTTCTGCCCAAATAAACATTTAATATTGCTGACGCTAGGCAATATAAAATATACATACTATACTAAATGTCAAATGAACATAATTGTAGTTTATAAATGCATGTATTCATAGACAAGCATATACAAGTATTTACAACAATGTTCATATTGGCTACGTTGTAATGTGTATAATGGAGGTGAAGAAAGGATGAAGAATGTAACCTACTTATCTCTTAAGTTTCCAGTTGAAAAAAATATATCTACTTAATTTCATTTAACATAATGTTTTGGTTTACAAGAATGTATCCATGACGTTGAATGAGGAATTTCTGTATACCTTATAATTTTGTGTAAGTAATGAAGTGAAATTGATCTGCAACTCTTTAACATTTCAATTACCTTCTTGTTCATCTGGTGCTCTATCTAATATACAGTGTCCCATAAGGTCCAGGCCATAGGAGATCTCAGTTATTTGGCAAAATGCAGAATAATGTAAAGGTGGAAAAACTGCTGAAAATTACTTGCTTCCAACCTCAAGTGCTGAGAACAAGCTGTTACAGCACTAGAATCTTTACATATCAGTACTAAAAGGCTATGACATCACTGTGACATTGTGGCATGTTTCCAGGGTGTGGGAATGCAGTAGTGAAAGAGAGACGGGTATAAAATGAAACAGGAAGAGTAAATAAAACCATTCTGTTTCAATATACTGATACAGAAACAACTGTCACACTTCACAATCTCAATGTTGTAATGGCTGTGAACATGGCAAAGATACTGTCCTGGGGTGCAGAAATTCTTCGTGGAAATTTATCACCATACCACATACTTCAAGTGACCCCACAGGAAAAAATCCAGTGGTATGTTAGGTCTGAAGAATGTGGTGGCCATTTCCATAGGTCCCTTTGGACTGATTCACCATGCACATAAAAATAGATCTTACCACTGCTATGGCTAAATAAAATTGAAGGCACAAGTTGATGGTAACAGTCTTCTGTTACTTCTTTTGGCTTATTTTGGACTTCACCCATCGTCCGGTATATAAAAAAGACAAAAAACCACAACGTTTCGGAGACTGGATCTGTCTCCGTCTTCAGGCGTATAGGAAAGGTTTAACCTACTCAGTTGGGCCCCTTAGAAAGAGCTAGCCTCAATCACTGGACGTCCAGTGATTGAGGCTAGCTCTTTCTAAGGGGCCCAACTGAGTAGGTTAAACCTTTCCTATACGCCTGAAGACGGAGACAGATCCAGTCTCCGAAACGTTGTGGTTTTTTGTCTTTTTTATATACCGGACGATGGGTGAAGTCCAAAATAAGCCAAAAGAAGTAACAGAAGACTGTTACCATCAACTTGTGCCTTCAATTTTATTTAGCCATAGCAGTGGTAAGATCTATTTTTATGTGCATGGTGAATCAGTCCAAAGGGACCTATGGAAATGGCCACCACATTCTTCA